ACTATCCCCAAACTCTCATTTTTCCTTTATTTGCTGGGGAGATAGTCATAATCACAATTTTCAGGAAGTCTGGTAACTGGGCAGTGGCCAGACGTGATTCTGGAGGAGGGAGGCTAGGTGTCATTTTCATTCAAAGAGAACTTGCATGCTCGACTGACTCTGTATGGTACAGGACAGGTCAACAGAGAGTTGTGACACATTCCTGAGTAGGGTCATTGCTTTGCTTACCTATTATTGTGTTACATACTCAGTGACTTAAAACAACAATGTACTATTTTGTTTTTCATGGTTCTGGGATTGATGGGACTCAGCTGGGTGGTTCTCCTTTGGAGACTCTCCCATGGTGGGAGTTGGTTCTGGCTGTCATCCGGGGCTGCAGACTGGAGTGCTTCCATGTGACGTCCATGTGGTTTAGAATTTCTAATAGGATGGCAGTCCCAGGAGACTAACACCTCTTACCTGACAGCTTTGGGCACCAGGAGTGAGTGTTTCAAGAAACCTAAGAAGAAGCTGAAAGGTTTTTTGATGACCTGGTTCCCAAAGTCCCAAAAAGTCAGTTCCACCTCATTCTATTGGTTGATACTGGTTGAGTAAGGCAGCGAGCCCAGCCCACATTCAAGGGGAGGGAAATCAGACTTCACTTCATGATTGGCGAAGCAAAGAATTTGCAGCCATCTTCCATCTACTACAGTGATCATATTAAAAGGGAACCACTGAAAGAAAACAAATTGACAGTGATGTTTAGAAAGGATCAAAGAATTGAGAGGCCGCAACATGAATCCGGATTTTGGAAGGTGCTTGTGGAAAAGAGAAAACACAGAGATGAGTTACCGGAAACTTACAGAGAACCAAAGAGGGTGGGACTCTGTAGACATACCAGGGAAAGCATTTAAGGCAGCCAGTACTTTCATTATGTTTAAAAATAAGTCTAAGGAAGGCAGGATTTTTGTTTTGTGTCTCATATATGACTGAGGACAAAGGCTTTAACAGGCCCCTCTCAGATGATGTGGGAAGCTGGTCATAGCTAACTTTTGGATGGTGATGGGTGGTTTGGTTACTGGTGCTTTGACTTTTATGTGTTGAACCAATGATTGAATCAAGACCTGGCATAAGAAAGAGGCCACGTGTCTGGTTCCATTAGGTGCAGCTGTTCTTAGAAGCCACCGAGTCTATGGGTCTCTGCAGCTTGCTGTGCTGTTTCTGTGTTGTGAGCGTGGAAAAAACCAGGGGCAAGAAGCCTTTGGCGCACAGTTGCTTTCACTGAGTGACATTAAAGCTGCAATTAGGACAAGAAGTTGGCGTGGCTGCCTGCCTGCCTTGTCCGTCTTTTCGTCCTCCTCTTATAAAGGAAGTTAAGAAACAGTTTACTGCCCGAGGCAATTTTATGATACTCTCCACTTTCTTCTCCGCTCCCATCTCAAGTTCACATGCTGCTTTCTGACTGGTAAAGGTCTTGCAAAATCGGAGGAATTTGAACGGGAAGACGATAAGAGAAACCCACAGCTAACTGCTTGGAGGAAGGGACAGGACTGAGCCAATTGAGAAGAGGCAGTAGTGGGAGGTACTACGAGACAGATTGAAAAAGTGGTTATTTGGAGGACAGGAGGTGGAAAATGTGTGAAAGGAACGCAAAATGAGGCTGTAGAAGGAAGTCCATGTAGGACAGTGGTTTTTAAATCTCTCTCAGGGAACACTGTGGTTCTGTGAGCAGTTACTGGCAGGTCTATAAATAACAAAAAAGAGGCGTTGCAAGAATCACAGAGGCCCTGTGTGCAAAGATGTAATTTTACTTTCCACAAACAGAAGTCAACTTAGCCCACAGATCCTCATTTCCAGCTCTAGCATCAGAAAAAAAAAAAAATCTTGCCAATTCAGAGTTGTTTAGTCTCCACTGGTTCAAGACTCCATCTCTTCTTTCCAGAATCCTTCCCTCTCCCAACCCCTTTTGTCCTTCTGGACAGTCCCTGGGGTTCTTTGGGGGTGGTGGAGGAGAAGGGCATGGCCTGCTCACTGCTTGTCCTGCTGTCTGGGGAGGGTCTCTGTCCATAGGTCATCCTGTGGACTTAACGACCCCAGCTGGGATCACACTTGCCCCAGTGTCCTCAGCTGCCAAGGCTGCTCTCAGCGTTGCTCTTCTTACCCCTTAGCAGCCCCTTTGGAGGCTCTGGGGACTGAAACACCCTGGGAGTGTTGCATCATCGTTCGTGAAACAGCCTGTCCTCAGGCCCAGGAAGCTCTATGGTCATAGCCGCCCCTTGGCACAGACCATTCTGGACATAGGGCTTTGCTATGATGGTCCTAATGGACTGTGACATCCCTGACGGTGTCCAGGACTTTGTTTCTTGTGCACTATTAGATCTTCCTCTCAAAAAAGGGGATTTGAGCAGCTTGATGGGAGGGGCATATGAAATATGATCTCTTTTTTTTAAAAAGTAGGATCCATGGTGGTCCAGCGCAGAGTCCGAAGCGGGGCTTGAACTCATGACCCTGAGATCAAAACTCAAGTTGAGATCAGGACTCGGACACTTAACCGATGAAGCCGTCCAGGTGCCCCCAAATCCCCAGGGAGATGGTCTCTCAAGAAAGGTGGTCTGTGGGTGGCCAAGTCTTCCAAATAAGAGGAGTCTCAGAGGTGGGAAGGTAGTGAGGGAGACACACTCCAGATTGTGTCACAAGACTCTGGCTGTTATTTCTGTTTCTCAAACACAGTTGGCATCACCTTCATGAAGGGCATGTCTCACACTGCGGGACACACTCTCATTCAGAGCATGTGCATGTGACTGAGACCAGAGTATACAGGCGTGACAATCTCCACCTCACGAGTCTTCAGCTCTGGTATGCGGCAGGACAGGTGGACACATGAGCTACCTAGGAAACAAAGGGAAGAGGGAGTCAGGGAAAGTGGTTAGCATGGCTGAGGGAGGGAGGAGGTGAATTCAAGGTGCCAGATAGGACAGTGGTTATAGGTGAGAAGGGGAGGGCTTCAAAACCCATCCTCATATTAGAGGGGTGTTTGTCTTATCTGAGTCTAGGGGCCCATGTGTCTAACAGGATAGTTGGGCTAGGGGCGGGTGGGAAGCATCAGAATACGAAGAAAAAAACAAGGAAAAGTATAATTTTAATTTCTACATGACTGCACAGATCAATTTTACTATCAACTTGTAAACTGTTTAAAAACCTTCACTGTATAAATGGTGAGATGTGTTTATTTCACCAACAATGCTAGTTGTTGGTGAACTATCACCATCACGATGGGGCCTTGGGCTTAGAAGAACAGGTGTTCCCAACCCTGGCTGCACGTTGGAATCATCTGGGAGGTTTTTTCTTTTTTTTTAAGATTGCATTTATTTATTTGACACAGAGAGAGAGGTCCCAAGTAGGCAGAGAGGCAGGCAGAGAGAGAGTGGGGTGGGGGGGGTGTGTGGAAGCAGGCTCCCTGCTGAGCAGAGAGCCCAATGTGGGGCTTGATCCCGGGACCCTGAGATCATGACCTGAGCCAAAGGCAGAGGCTTAACCCACTGAGCCACCCAGCTGTCCCCACCTGGGAGTTTCAATAACACTGGCATTTGGGCCTCAGCCCCAGAGAGTTTCACGTGACTGATCTGGGAGTCAGGGGTCCAGATCTCTCTCCTGGTGATCCTAAGGTTTCAAAAACCACACTCTTAAAAAGGAATCCTAAAGAGATGGGGCCATCTGATGAATTCTCACAATACCATGTTACTGGCCATAGAGTTGAGCCCGTTCCTTGGAGCAAGAGGAAACAGATGCAAACACTGGAACCAGATAAAATTTTTTTTTTTTTTAAAGAGAAATTATCATCATTCCAGACCACAAGGCAGCATTTGGACTGATGCATTATTGCTGCTGTTTTCTTTATCTGGGCCAGCGCCTGCCCAGCCTGGAAGGGATATAGGAAGGGAGGGTGTGAGTTCTGTTAGGACGGAAGCCATCATCATCTACTCAATGTCTCCTCAGAGGAGGATGGCTCATTAGGGCCTCAAAACAAATCAGGGTCCAGTCACTTGCTAGAGGAGTGGAAATGGAAGAGCTACTTCCAAGCCCCTGGCTGTTGGGCTTAGAGCCCAAGCCAACTACTCTGGTACTTCAGCCTCCTTCCCTCCGTGCACCAAGGTTCACATCTGGCCATTCATTGCATTCCTCGGAGTACCGATTCTCTCGTGCAAATTGAGTGGATGGGAGTAGGTGGGTCTTAAGCTGAAAAGAATTACCAGGTCTGGCCAAGAATTCTGGTATCAAGACTGTACCACCTGTAAGCTCCTTTTTCACCTGGGCACATCAATAATAACAAATAGCAAGGTACTCCTGTGTTCTATTATCCTTGTGCGGGTGCTGGTTTACAGTAGTAATTTATGTCACCTCCCCATGATATGGGTGCTGATACGATCCCTTTTCACAGAAGAAGAAACGGAGGTACCAAGAAGTTAGTGCGTAAGAAGCCAGGGTGAGGAGGGGGCCAGGCCTCAGGCTCCAGTGGCTGACCCACACTGTCTTGTCTCTGGCTGAAAAGTGTGGGACCTGAAAGCCCACTGGTGGGTCGGGAGCTCGATTCGCCCGACTCATGCCCAGGACCCCGCAGCTGGGTGGTAGCCAGGTTAAGATGTCCAGGTGAGTCGCTCCAAAAGTCACTTCTTGTGGGATGACCGTCACTGCCCCGCGTGGGGCGGGGGCCCCAGACCCGCGAGGATGCGGGGGGCAGGGCGGCGTTCCTGGCTCCTAGGCTCCTTCGCGTAGGGCGCTGGGCACTGGGCCAGCAGGCTCCCTCCCCGGCCGGGCCCGCCCCGGCGTCTCCGCCCGCCGGCGTCCGTCCCCGCCCGCCGCGCCGGAGCTGGAGCCCGAGCCTTAGCGCAGCAGGAGCCGCGCCCCGCAGTTCCCGGGCGCGAGGGCGGTGCTGCTCCTGCTCGTGCCCGCGCCCGGACCCGGGAGCCGACCCGGAGCGCGCGGCAGCGGCCGGGAGGGGCGGGAGCGCGGTCGGCCGGCGCCCCCAGAAACCCCGGCATGTGACCGCCGTGCGCCTGCGCCCCGGAGCTCCCGAGCCCCTCGCCCAGCTCCCGGGGCGCTCGCCCCGCCGCGCTGGGCTCGGGGCCGTCGGGGGCTCGCCCAGGTAGGAGGAATCTGCAGTGTGCCTGGCTGGCTGGCTGGCTGGCTGGCTGGCAGGGCAGGCGGGGGTGGGGGGTACCCGCCGTGGCTTTGACACCTTTCCCCTCTGCACCGACTGCGCAGAAAGCGTCCTTCCTCCGTCCCCCTTGCTTGTTAGTTTGTTGTGGAAGAAGGTGATGGCGGGGAAATCTGGGGGGGGAGGGGGGTTGTTTGTTTGTATTCCTGTGTGAAGCCGGAATAAGGGTTGTTCAAATGCCTTTGGTGTGTGGCGGGTGGGGGTGTTGGTTTGCGACGGTCCTGGAGGGTTGTTCCAGGGTGTGTGTGGGGGGGGTGGGGGGGGAATTTAAGTAAATTGCTTCCAGGCATTTGAATCTGGCCAAGTTCAGCTGCTTTGGGAGTGTCCCTCTCAGGGATTTAGGCTCAGAGGGGTCAGTCTGGTCAACAAGATTAGGGAAGAAGGGTCTACACAGTTGGGGAGGGTAACTTGTGCCGCCCCCTCCCTCCCCCAGCCCCCTAGGGAAGGGCTGATGCTGGGTGTAGCTACAGACATGCAAAAGGCATTTATTCGCAGCAGGCGGGGCCAGTACTTCACAGTTAATAAGACCCTTTACATTTCTTTTTTATCCCCCCAGCAGTCTTGTGAGAGACATGATATTATCACTTTCCTTTCACAGCAGAGTGAAGCAGAGCCTTACATAGGGTGACACTAACTTGGGGGACTGGCGAGTGGAGACTGGGACTGGAGAGTGGCGACTAGGACTGGAGAGTGAGCCCTTTGGACTCTAGACCTATGCCTTCTGCCTTCTGCCTTTTGGCATGTTGGCTCCCGTGACCTACCAGGTCTTTCTCCTCTGTGCTGTTGAGGGTGCTCAGATTCCTGCCAGGGGCAACTGTCCTCAGTGATTCCCACTGGCTCGAGACGTTCCCCAGATGGGCATGTTCTGGGGGTTTTAGCTCCCCAGTCTAGGAACCAAGTAAGGGATGTCTTAGCTACGGATGCTGTGGAGAAAAGGTGAGCTGAGATCCATCCATCATTGGAAGGTGCTGGCTGGGTTACCCTGGCTTGTACCAGGCTTGTGGAAGGTGAATGTATCAAATGGAACTAACTCCATGACTACTGGTGAACTGAGGAGAGCCAGGGGATGAAGCTGGGGGCGGGGGTGGGGTGCTTGGGAACTTTGCAGCCCCTTTCCCACCCTGTTTACGTGCAGCCGTGGGCACCTTTTTCTCTCTTGACTGCTTTTAATTTCTGACTTAATATTCTATGTTCACATCCTGTATTGTGTTTTGAGCTAGACAAAAACGTGGGGCCTTTAGGATGGGATTTGATGAGTGAAGGGATAGGGAACCCCTTATTTATTTTCAGTCTTATTTGGCTAGCTGCCACTGTACTGTGTGTGGAGCATGACTTACACCTGTCCACCCTTGGGTGGCCTCCATGTGGTTCCAGAAAGGATATTTGACCTGAATTCTCCATGTGACTTTCACACGGCTGAATTAAACCCCCGTTTTTAAATACGCTCTATGCTTCCTGTGTGGGATAATGTGGCAAGGCTTTCTTTATGGATTTTTTTTTAAAATAATATCTTTTGAGTAATTCTTTTGCTGTTGGTGACACACTGTTCAATATTAGATTCACTAATTTATTTAACAAATGTTTACTGAATATCTCCTATTCTGGGTCGTATTCTAAGTACGGAGGATAGAGCAGTGAATAGGAGAGATGCAAATCCCTGCCCTCTAATGGCTGTGAATCGTCTTGGTGAAGTCCCGGGACAATTGCAGTCTCTCTGCATAAGGAAGTTCTTTGAACTTTGCCTCTTTGAATGGGGTGTGGGCACCCTGGCTGCCCACAGGCAGGACACCATTCAGTGTCTCCAGGAGAGAAGGCAGGAAGGTAATGGGTGCAGACATGGCGCCTGGGTTCCTGAGGATTGGCAGGGGGTGCTGAGATATACTCTAGGGCCCAGTTGTGCACTTGGATGGGGGATGATGGAAAGCGTGTGCTTGGGACGCATGGGGGGGCGCAGGGGAGATGGGCGTCCACCTGGAAACAGGTAGAGATGTTGTCAACAGAACGTCTTATTGATCAGCTTCAAAGCTGGACAGTTGCAGTGAAATTACCATAGCACAGGGGTTAGGGAGGTACAGAGCATCAGCTGCATATGGACCCACTGTGAACTTGTCAGCTGAAGGACAGCAGGCATCAGGAGGCACTGGGACTCACTGGCTGTGGTCCAGCCCCATGATGTTCCCCATTGCTACTGTGCACAGGAATTGGGTTTGTGTTTTCCTTTCTTTGAGGTTTTGAGGTCATCATGCGGGCTTGCAGAATCTGTGTTGTCAGCAGCCTTGTTCCTCGCTCCCTCCACCCTTGTCCTTGCCTGCTGTGACCCCAGGAAGTGGACTGCAGCTTCAGAGCCATGCTCAGCGCTTGGGAGTACTTGGAGGAGCCCTGGCCCCAGACTGCTCTCACCAAGCGCTGAAAGGGGCTAGGGTTTCCGAAGGTCCCTCGTCACCTGCATGCCTTTGAACTGGGCGCTGTCTCCTCATCTCATACACGTGGCAGAGTAGTGGATTCTTTGTTTCTTTTTTCCATTCCTATCTGTTCCAGAAAGGATTTATAAGATGCCATGGGTTAAAAATCGGATGAAAGAAAACCAAGAGTGGAGATGAAGTGGGCCTGCAGTGAGTCTAGAAATGTGTCACATGTAAACTTTCATGAAGTACAGATTTGCAGAGTTGCCAAGTGTGGCTGCAAATACAGAGGGAAGCCTGTTCCCTACCCTTGCCTGAACCTTAGCAGTGCCTGAGGCGCTCTGATGAGAAATGGCAGGACTTGACCACAGAGCAAACAAACTAGCGTGTCTGGCCGGTGTTTTTAAAGCCTCAGGTGGTTCTGACGTGTAGCCAGTGTGGACGACACTGGTGTACTTTCCTGCCGAGGCTGTAGGAGAGGGGAGACCTGGTGGGGCACAGCCATCTGTGTCTTCAAGATGAAAAGAAAGTGCTCAGAAGTAAAAGAATTCCTGGGATGGAGAAAAGTAGGACCTTTCCCCTGCAGGTCCCCATTTAGGAGGAGCAATTTTAGGCTGTCTTTTGAAATAATTCTCCATTGTCAGTGCAGTTGGGTAACCGAGTTTCAGCTGGACTTAGGATGCTAGTAGGAGGTGGGGGAGGTGGCCTGTGCACCCTGAGTTCTGCACATGCAGCTTCCCAAACCAGAGAATGTTAAGGACCCCAACAGATACAGCCTATGACTCCTGACCCTGAGATCAATCAAGAGTTAAATGCTGTCACTTTGATCAGTGCCTCTCAGCTAGTTAGAATCCCTTACCCCCTTTAATGCAAATATTTACAATTATGAAACGATATAAGAAAACTTACCCATAATGGAATTTCCAACTAGTTAGTATAATAGCTAGATGTAAAGAACCACTGTGTGGATGGGTGGTTGAGCAGAGCCAAACTAGAACCCAGCAAAGCCACTTAATGTATTATGGCTCCAAGTGTGGTCCGGAACAAAGGCATCCTAGTGGGGATCCAGGTACCCCTGAATGATGAGTGACTTTTGCTCAAGGTCTAAGGTCTATATGGTAGTCAAAGCTAGTCTCCTCTCTGTTTTCACAGTAATCACATCCCTGGAAAATTCAGTATGTCTGAAACATGTGCCAACAATGTATATTCTGTGTAAGTGTAGGGTAGAATTAGGCGCTGGGCTCTCCAAATGGTAAATGATGTGCATGGCTTGGAGGTCATGCAGGACAAGAGACAGTCTTTACTTTGCAGAACTGCCCTGTGTTGTTCTGGAAGTGACTCTACCACTCGGTGCTTTGTTGTGATCACCCAAAGTGTCCCCTTCTCCGTACTTTCAAAAGTGTTCCCCTTAGCAGCCATACCAGCCTCTTTGAGAACCAAGGGTTTGCCCCTCATCATCACTTGGTAGTAAGTGATTAAAGCCCTAATGTCACTTTGCACCCTAACTTAGCAGGGTGCAGATGCAGTGGAAGCAGCCATCCAGAGTGATTCATGTTGATAGTTATGGGGTCCTATTGGTGGTGATGAAATCAGGATGGTGGGCCCATGTGCTGTGAAATGTGGCTAGTAAGGGACACAAAGGAACTTTGGGGGAGGATAGAAATGGTCTGTATCTTGATGGAGTACTCCTGGGGTATACAGTTGTTACAGTTAATGGAATTCTACACAGGTGTACCATATGCCCGGGGTATACAGTTGCCTCGGTTAATGGGATTCTACACGGGTATACCGTATTCTCGAGTATACAGTTGTCATGGTTAATGGAATTCTACGTGGGTATACTGTATTCCTGGGGTATATAGCTGTCACAGTTAATGGAATTCTACACAGGTATACTGTATTCCCGGGGTATACAGTTGTCACAGTTAATGGGATTCTACACTTGAGACTTACTATGTGTTTCCCTCTATGCATATTATATCTTGGTAAAAAAAAAAACAAAAAACAAAAAAACAAACAAACCAAGAGGAGTGAAGACAAAGAAAAATTCATGTAGAGAATGTCTAGTCCCCCGTGATTACCTGTAACACTCACTTTGAGAAACAGAACTATTGTGGTGGGCTGGTGGGCAGTGCTTGGGGACAAGTCCTGGGAGGCAGGATTCAGGTATGGAACTTTTGGCAAGTGGAATGGGAGCTGTGCACGAGAGCTAACAGGGTCAGGCAGATCACTCGAGAGGAGACAAGGGCTGGGAGAGCAGAGCCTTTCCCATTGCTGGGTCTGGTTGCTGTGGTCCAGGAGCACAGGTTCATTGTGGAGAAATGCACACTGTGTGAAAACTCAGTCCAGCCATCAAGAGGCCCTGGTCTGGCCATTCCTGTCCGTAGCCCTCTGCTGATGGTAATCCTGTCCCTCTGTGCCTTATTCTTCCCTTTTCTGTTAAAACCCACGTGAAACCACATCTGGTGGCTTCATGCCTTGTCATAGCTGAACAACTTGGACAGCCTAGTGACACCTAAAACCTCTGTGACTACTTTCCCTTTATCTCCATATCCCTGTCCATGATAGCCTTTGATGACTAAAAAACTTTTCTTGTCTCATTTGTGTGAGTAAATAAGCCTGATGAATCTGCTGTGAGCCACGCATTTGGATTTTCTGATAGGAAGATGGCCAAAATTTCAGTGTTTCTCAGACCTTCTGGGATGATGAGTGTTTCTATTGCCTCCATCATGGGTGTGGTTTTGTCTACTCATAGTTCTGTAGAACTCTTTCTCTGGAGGAAAATCAGGGATAGCCATGCTGAACGAATGCATAATAGGGTTTTAGGATGTCTGTGTATGGTGGGGTATGTGTCACTCTTCTCTGCATAACAGAAACGGTTCTATTATACTGTGGTGACTCCCAGACTCCTTTGTGTCCACATCCTTGGTCTCCTTCCTTTCTTGAGCGTGGAACCATCCTGGGGGGCCTCCTTGATGTTAGGGTGAGGTTGCTCTGTCTGGCCCCATGGGTGTGACGTTGTGTGGCCCTTATAGTTCCATTTCCCATGACTAGGACCAGGTAGAGATGATTGTTGTCTATGCAGGACAGTGCCTCCCAGATTTTACCAGCAAAGGACTCCTCTTGAGAAATGAAAAGTAGATGCTCAGTCTAGCTCTCTAAAGTGGCTCCCTCAAGGGCCATTTCTTTGATGACTCATACTTCAGCTCTGGGAGATTTTTCTTTCCATTTCGGAATATAGCTGTGTTTTCTCTAATGTAAAAACGACTCCGCCCAGAAAATCCTTGAGGCAAACCAGAATCCCAGAAGTTAGATTTGGAGTTCCCTGGCTGTCTGCAGCTTCTTGGGGATTTGCAGGTTCTAGATTAAGAAACAGGGACTTGTGTAAGCCCAGAATTCTAAAGAATTTTCCACAATCACATGGTTCTGTGGTTTTATGAGTAAGTTCCTTTATACATCTTGTCTTGAAAACTGACATTTTTGGTCTTAACAAAACTGGAGACTATGTAATTGATGTTTGAGTCCTTGTAACAGGTGAAGATCATAATTATAGACTTGATTTTAATACCATGCCCCATTCCCCATATGTGTTCACGATGGTTCTCAGCAGAACATGGAGATTGTGACAGTTTGTGAGCTGAAAAACCTGCTTTCCTCTTTGCTTCTTTCAGGGACTGTGCACAGGCCCTTCCCAGTTACAGTCAATTAGTCAGAGCCCAATTCTCTATTTTTCTGTTGTGTCAAATATACATATATACATATGTCGAATAATGCGTGGGATGGGAAGTTGTATTAAACGATGCTGTGTATGTATTTGTCAGGCACTCAGTGTGAAGAGTGAGCTAGTAGGAGTACCAGTAGGGTTTCTGTTTAAATTTCAGATGTAGGACCCTTCAGGTCTCCAGAAGGAGGAATGGGAGGAGGCTTTTGCTGGTGTTATCTCTCTCTTCTTGGGTTTCTACAGAGGTGTGGCTCCTGCAGAACTACCCTTAGAGCCAAGTAAGAGAGGTCCCATGCAGGCCCCATACTTTGGAGGGTCGTGCACTGCTTCTCAGCTGGCCTCGGGCCTCAGCATGGCCAGGAGTCTGTGGGGCTAAAAGAATGTGCTTCCTTGGAGCCTGTGTACACCAGCATGGCCATAATCCAGGCACCTGGGACCCGGGAGATTCCTTGTCCAAACAGCCTGGGCAGAGCACACACACAGGTCTCTCCCCCTGTGGACTCCGCAGCCACCATGCCTGCCTGGTCTGCTGAGTGGCCCGAACTGTACGGGTGGGGGGAGGGTAGATTTGGATGTGAGGACTGGGATGTCTATCTCTATGCACTCTCAGGGCACCTCATGATATGTGACGGAGCTGGGGGGCCATCTAGGGAGTCTAGCTGGGAGGCTGACGTGGACAGGAAGAGCACAAGCCACGTGGGGAACTCGTCCGTGTAGATGCTGTGTGGGACAGCGCAGCCTGCTTCCAGAACCTTGTGCCCGCCGCCCCCTCCCAGAGGTGGACCCACAGGGGGCATGTGTCTTCATGAGGTCTGGGGTGTGTCTGATGCGTGCCACCTCTGTCCTGTGCCTGGCTTTTGGCCTGGCAGGCAAGACACACAATGTGGGGGAATTCCTCAGGAATAAGAAGGAAATTCCTCAAGGTTGTGGGAAAATTCTTCAGGAATAAGAAGGCATTAATAGAGGAAGGCACCCCTTCCCTCTGCACCGGAGCCCCTGGGCCTTGTGGAAGCCTCATGGGTTCTGGCGGCTGTCCCTCCATCCCCCAGCTGTCACTTTCACTGCATCTGTGCAGGGTATGGAGTTCCTCGCAGATGGACAGGACGGCGCTAGGAGATGAGCGGATCTTCTGTTGGGGGCCTGCTCATCATTAACCCTTACACCCCATCTCTGCTTCTGTAGTTGAGTCTCATTTCCTGGTGCTCTGGTCTCATTTCCACTTTTCTCTCTAACAAACAAGAGGCTTCGCACATATCTGCCGTGTGCCACAGAGCCGTGGTGTGTACCGGTTTCCAAGTACATTATGATCACAAAGAGTGAGGGGAACTGTACTCCGGAAGTTCATGATGGATCGCTTTTTTGCGTGAGGGTCATAGAAAGCTCTGCTTCCTGTTTTCCTACCTGCATGGGAATGAACCAGGCTGCTGGGGGCGGCGGGGTGACCAGCCAGGGCCCCCTGTCATGCTGGGGCCCGGTCCGGTGTCAGTACCTCGGTGTGCCCCCCCCTCCCCGCCCCCACCCAGACCCCTGCACTCCTGCTGGAATCAGCTGTGGAGGGGATGGTAGGCAGGGTGGAAAGTTTCATGTGTAATACAGATGTCACTGCCTGTAAGGGTAGGAAAGGAGCTGTGTGTTAATTTATTGGGAGCATTAATCCTTCTCTCTCCCTTCATCCTTTTATTTTATGTGGAAAATTCCTCTGAACAATAAATAACACAATAGAATAGATCTGTGACTTTTTTATTGTCAGTACTTTCTAAAAATATATTTTGAGTTTTATTTGTAAACTGATTTCAAAAATCACAGCAGGTTTTGCCCAGTTGCCTCTGGACAAGGGAGGTTGACTTAGCCAGTATCCCTTCTGGAGGGAATTGTGCCCAGTGTCTGGTCCTGCTCCTTCTGCTCTCCCTCAGCGTCCTCCCTGGCTTCCTGGCTGTGCAGCCTTTGTGTCACCCTGAAGTAGTAATCTTCCCTTTCCAGTGTGGTTCCCAGCCTCATAATGCTTCCCCTAGCATTTCTCTTCTCTGACTCACACTCAGTACCTGTATTCCAACCTTTCTCCCCCTTGATTCGAGGCCAGGTTTTCCTCCCTGTGTAGTCTAATGTGAAGACGTTGGGTAGATGATTCTTTCTCTCCCTCCCTCCCTTCCTCGCTTCCTTCCTGAGCTCTTACCACAATGCAAGATGAGTAGGATGGGGCCCTCTTCACAGGAGTATGGGAGAGGGAGACAGTCTTCTCTGTACCTTTCTCTCCTAGCCCAGGTAGGGAAGGGCAGCCACCAGGGGAGCCCTGGGTCCCAGAGCCAGAGGTATGAGGCACCAGGTGCCCTGGGTCAGGTGGAACCTATGTGACTTGGTGTTCCTGGCTGTGGAGCAGGGGGGCGTCTACTGGGGCCCCTGGGAGAAGCCTCACATCAGAATCGGCTCAGAGCTGGTGGGAAGTCACAGAAGAAGCAGGCGGACTGGGAAGATTAGAACCAAGTGACAGGCCTGGGGAGCCCTGTGGAGACACCACGGAGGGAGAATGGCAGATGGCAAGGAGCAGAAGCCATGAACCAATAGCAGAGGATGGGGAGAAGAGACAGTGACTATAAAAGTTCTTTTAGAGACTTTTGGGGCAAAGAGGAAGAAGGGAAGTGAAGTGGTTTGAGGGACTTGGGAAGTCAAGTCTGCAAGAGGTTTCCTGGACTTTCCAAATCCATTCATTCCTCTTGCCCATCCTTCTCCTCGTCCTCACCCTGTTCATTTCTCTGTCACTCTCCCTATGGGTCCCCCCACACTGTGCTCATTTCTGGGCCACACTGATGGAGGTGGGGAGGGCACTGTGCTTCGGACAGAGGATGGGAAGATCAGGGAGCCTTTGATTTTGTGTTTCAATTGATGTGGATAAGTCTCTGTGCCTCTGACCCCTTAATGTGATGCTGTGTACCTTCCTGTAAACCTAACATGAATGCCAGGTGCTGCTTAGTCCATTTTAATCTAAGCGGAGTGTTTGGTGTTGTATTAGTCAGGCTGTTTTATGGATTGGACATGAAAAGGCCTTATGCTTCAGCCTGACCAGTGTTGCAAAGGCCTGAGGAAATCAGTCAGACCTGAAGCAAATACCAGACTCCGAAATAACCCAAGTAAACCGTAAAAACCAGGGAATGGGTGGTGGAATGCCTATAGGGCACATCACAGTTCAGCTTTTCGGGAAGTTCTTTCAGATTCTGTCATTGGGAATGCAGGTGTATCGATAAGCTTGCTAGAAGGAAGCCTGAGGACGCACAGTGTGCCTGCCCTTGAAAAGGGCCTGTTCATGTTCTCCCTGGCATCTGGTTCATTCTCTGAGCTCTGTTCTCCCAGGGCATAAAGTGGTGAGGTGCCCACAGGTGGTACCACCCTTCTGCCTGCCTGGGCCAGCTAAGTGCCAGGTTTCGTGCGGCTATTCCAGGAGAGGTGGTGGTTGTCGACCTCTGGGTATTCCTCACCCCCCCCCGCCCCTCAATTTTCTGAAACCGTTGTCTCAGAGGACTGTGGAGCGTGGTGCCCTTTAAACATGCTGACTCATTTTTGTCAGTTTGTTTTGGTTGGTTTTGGACGCTTCTCAAGGTCTGGGCAGCAGTCGGTGCCTAGAAGCTCCCTCACTGCAGCTCACACTGGTGTGCGTGCTTCCTTCCCCAGGTAGAGTCGCCCCTTGAGGATGCTGACTCCGTGCTGAGAATCAGGACCCCTTCACACAAGGAAGAGCCGTGTCCAAGGTAATGGTTGCTTCCCCCACCAGGGGGCCTGCGGGCCGTTTCCCATAGAGGGCTGGAGTCTCCAGCCTCAGCTTCAGGTGATCCCGGCGTGTCTCTCAAGGTGCACGGAACGTTCTGTTTGTCCGCCCACGTTCCTCTGGGACAACTCTGTGGTTTTATCTGAGTTCTGAAGGGGTCTGTGACCCCACCGAGGGCCACTGCTCACCCACTTTCCGGGATCACTTACCGATCGCTAAGGTTATGACCGGTGTGCTAATGGCTCCCAGTGCACTGTGTGCTGTCCAGTTCCAGCACATGCCGGGCCCTGTGTCCGTGTCACTCAGCTTTCAGCTGACACTTGGAGTCTCCGTTTCTGTTGGAGGCGACACTGCTGGCTAGCCCCAGCAGACCCAGGCCCAGTGGTGCTGTGAGCGACATCCTTTGGGCCTCTCTTTGGGCTGTCTGTGCATTCTGGAACCTGTCCCTCCTACCTGGCCCAGCCCTCACTGGTCCCCACCTGAGTGAATCAGGGTTGGTGCATCCCAGACCCGCTCCGTCACCCCTCCTTTCGCAGGCCTCTGAGCAGTTCTCAGATCCACCCCCTTCTGTCTGTCCTTCACTGCTGGCTGGCTCAGGCCACATCCCCTCTCATGTGGACACCCCCTCACGGCTGCCTGCTCTCTCCACCTACCCTCTTGTCTCCGGTTTATATTCCACACAGGTGCCAAGATCTCTGTGAAATCTGATTGTACACCACCCTGTAGCATAACACCTTTAAGTGAGTCTCTTTTTTGCCACCTGCGACTTGCAGCCCCAACTCCAAGCTGTCCTTGGGCTCCGTGTTCTGGGCATTGTCAGCTTCCCCAGCTTTGCTTCTTGGCTTCCCACCTTTGGTTTATGCTCCAGAAGTAGATGTGCTTCCCACCACCTCCTGAGGTTCAGGTAACCCCTTCCAGGAACCCTCCTCCAGGCTGAGTTAGGGCCCTGGGCGTTGCTGTCCCCAAAGACACCTCTGCATCATTGGATAACTCTGTGGCCCTGCCTGCTTTCCACGCTGGCTGATGAGCTCCTTGACCCAGACCCTGGTTGTTATTCCTGTGTGTTCCCAGGGCCATGTGTAGCTGCAGGTGTGCAGTAGATATCCAGCATACAATTGCTGAATTCAGCAGTGACCGAAGGAAGGGATGAATGGATAACTGGAAACACTTCACCAAAGCTTGTACTTGTCATCAGCACGGGGGTGGTTATGATAGCTTACATTTGAGGGTGACCGTTTGCCCGATGGTTCAGTGCCCCTCACACGTGACAACCATTTTGCTTTCAGCAGCTGTCAGCCACAAATACTGCTCATGTCATCCCTGTCTCGTCAAATGGGGAATGGAAGCTTTGAGCAGAGGACAGAGGGATGTGGGAAGAAGGGGGTGTGTGGGACACAACTGTGATCACATGGGGCTTATGCCTAAATGGTGGCCATCTTGAAGAGTGGCTTCTTGCTTTATTTTTTTTATTTCATTAATTATTATTATTATTTTTTGTTTGTTTGTTTCTGGCTCTAGCACTCTGCCTTCAAATAGCACAACACAGATGCTGTTGGGAGACTTCCTCACTTGGCCAGCCTTTCAACTATTGGCAGTGCAAGTCTAGTCAGGTTTGGCATCATCCTTGAAATTTCTGTGTTGTGTGGGGGGCCTAGTGGGGTTTCTGGTAATTTTTGTCAGGAGCGTGGTTTGTTTAGTCTCGGGTGCATCTTTACGTCCCTCACTTTCACGGTCCGTCCTTGGACATATGACTCTTAACCCCATCTCATAGCCCAGAGCTGACCCCCTTGCCCTAAGGTTCTGGGGACTGATAGGGATTCAGAAAGTCCCCTGTTGAGAGGAAGGGGCTGCTCTCTTCCCTGGTTTTTCTCAGAACAGTTCTGGGGCAGGCGAAGCAAAACCTGGACCCAGGGGGTTTGGCTTCCGCGTTCCACTGTCGGAGTGGGAATGGCTCAGTGATGATCTGACTGCCCCCTCACTGGTACATATGAGGGAACTGAGGCCCAGGGAGCCATTGTGTCTAACACCACACTGCCCTGCGGTGGCAGGCCATTAGCCTTGGACTTGTATGAATCAGCATTTTCCCACAATTAATTCAGAATTACATCTTGAGATATGATCTGTATAAAACTCACCCCGGCACCTTCCGCTTCTTCTCCCATACTTAGTAATCAAACAAGTCCGATCTTGTAATTGCCTGAACTAACCGCTGGCACTGTTCACTTAGTTTCCTGGTATCTTTATATTGTTTCAGATAACTAACACCAGCTGTTGATTGGCCTGGAACCGGCCACTGGGAAATATTTTAACCCTTTATTTTCTGCTTCTCTATCATGGAGCCTTAAAACATACACTCACACAGTTACAGAAAGAGCTAATAAGCCGGGTTGCTAGACTTCTTACTTTAATAACCTAAATATAATTTAGAAGTAAATATAATAATGCAGTTAATTTGAGCGAACTCAGGGGAAGGCCAGTTTATGTGAATAAAATGTCAGAATAACAGGATATTTAAGGAATGCAGTCCTCCTGCTGTGAGGTAGGTCCAGAAGCAAGATCACATTGAGGCAGGGAGACTAATAACCCATCATCATGACTTGAGGATGAGGGTGGAAGCAGGTGGGAGTTAGTTTATATGGTTTTAGAGATTTTTCTGGAATAGTAACATTTTAATTATTGTTTCACATCCATTCCTCTCTTTTTCAGGAGAATATGAAACTGTTACTCAGGTTTGTTTGTTTTACAGCTGTACTGATTTCTTCTCTGGAAGCTGGTAAGTTAAGCATTTCCTCATTTTCTTGTCTGCTGAGAAGCCCTATTATTTAGGATACATGAAGTATCTTCCCTGACAGAATCAGTTTTTTCTCCTCACCTGTTTCTGTTGAATCCCAGAACAGAGAGCCTCCTAATCACAGAACTGTACTATACATTCTTTCACTCGTGGTTTGGGAAATTGAGGCACAGTGAGGCTAAGAGCCCAAGCTCACATAGCTAGTGTCAGAGCAGCAGCTAAGATCCAGGCCTCCAATGTCAAGGCCAGGCCTTCTCCAACTTTGTTGCCGATTGAGGAGTGTGATGGGAGATCCTGGCTTTCATTCAGAAGAGGTGTTAAGTGCAGCCATTAGGAACCCACAGCTGAGAACCATCCAGAGACATCTGGATGTCTCCATCCAGTTTCTTTGTTTTCGTTTTTAGCTTTTTTGTTTATTTATTTATTTTTTTTAGTCTGGCTTTTTTCTGTCAGCATAATTATTTTGAGATCTGTTCATATTGTATAAATGGATAGATATTATTTTATTACATGGTAGTTGTCTATTATATGGGTATTATCACCATTCATTTATCCACTCACATTTGATGGACATTTCAGCTATTTCTGGTTCTTGACTATTCAAAGTAAAGGTGCTATGAAAGTTAGCACTCAGGTCTTTGAGTGGACATATATTTTCATTCCTCTTAGGTCAATACCTGAGAGGGGGATGGCTGGGTCATATGGTAGGCTTATGTGAAACTTTTTAAGAACCTACTAAAGTGTCTTCCAAGCAGTTGTACCATTTTATATGGTCACCAGCAGTAAATGAAATTTCCACATCTCACCAACACCTGATACTGTCCACCTTTTTGATTTTAATACCTAAAGGAGTAATAGCTGTTTGTAATTTTAATTTCCATTTCTTGCTAATGATAATGAACTTCTTTTCATGTGCTTTTTTGCCCTCCATATATCATAATTCACTTTCTGTCCTTTGTCTGGTTTATGCTAATAGCTTGTCTTTTTAAAAATAACTGCTCTCAGGCTTATTGTATCCATCTTTAACTTACTGCTGTCTACTTTCAAGTGATACTATACTATTTCACATATACTATAGAAAACTTAGAACAACACACATCCACTTCTCCCTTCTTGAGCTTTGTCAGATTGTTCCTATGTTTTATTTCTTTATATGTTATAAATCTCACAATACTTTTTAAATTTTTACTTTAAACATTCAATTACTTTAAAGGAGATTTAATAATGCTATGGCTTGAGGTTCAGTAATCTTTTTTTCTGTAGTGTCAAATCTGCCATTAATCATATCCTGTGTATTTTTCAAGTCAACTTTATAGTTTCCATCACTAGAAATTCAAGTTTTAAAAAAATCTTTTTTATGTCTCAACATGTTTGATCTAATATCTTGAAGAAATGGAACACAGTGGCAATAACTATTTTAATCTATTAATTCTGTGATCTGTATCATTTCCGGGTCAGTTTTGATTGATTACTTTCATCTTTTTTTTTTTTTTGAAAGATTTTATTTATATATTTGAGAGAGAGAGAGAGAGAGAGCATGAGCACAAGTGAGGGGAGGGATGGAGAGAGAGGGAGAAGCAGACTCCTTGCTGAGCAGGGAGATGGATGCTGGGCTGGATCTCAGGACCCTGAGATCATGACCTGAGCCAAAGGCAGACGCTTAACTGACTGAACCACCCAGGCGCCCTGATGATTTTCTTCTAATCATTGATTTTATTGTCCCACTTCTTTGTACACCCCATAATTTTTGATTGAATGCTGGACACTATAGATTTTACCATTTTGGGTGCTGGGTGTTTTCGTATTACTAAAAATGTTCTTGAACCGTTCTGCTACAGTGTTGTTACTTGGAAATAGTTGATCTTTTCAGGTTTTGCTTTTAAGCTTTATTAGTCAAGATCAGAAAAAGTCTTATCTTAGGCCTAATTTGCTCCATCTAAAGGGTCAAAACCCTCTGGGTTCTCTACCTGATGTTCCATGAGCCACGAGGTTTTCCACTCCAGCTGCTGAGAACAGCAGTATGTGGTCCTGTGGGTACTCACTCCAATCCCTTTGGCAATCTTCACTCTGACCTTGGGTAGTTCCTTATGTGCTTACACTAATTGGTACTCAGCTGAAACCTTGAGGGAGACTGTACAGATCTCCAAAACCCTCTCTCTGTCTATATATCTATACAGCTTCAATCCCTTTCCTGCTCTGTCCTCCAAACTCGTGGTTTACCTGGATTTCCAGCTCTGTCTTCTCCATTCAGACAGAACCCTGGCCTTGTTTGTGTTTCCTCCTTGCAATGTCATGACCTAGAATCTCTCTCTAGGCAGTAACTTGGGAAAATTGTAGGGCTCACCTACTATGTTTTCCATCTTGCTGGCATTTCTGTCCTTTGTTCCTCGATGTCCCATGTCTTGAATATTTCATATACTTGGTCCATTTTTTCAGTTGTTCAGGTGACAGGGCAAATCTAGTCCATTTTGTACTGAAGCAGATCTGTCTCCTGCAATATTAGCACCAATCTTTAGATGAATAAAGAGGGAATAAGAGAGGTTAAATAACTTTCCCAAGGGCATACAGATAGTAAGATTTGAATATAAATCTTTCAGTCTTCCAAGATCATGCCTTTCATTATAAAGCTGTTAAAACTCCTTATGTAATATGAATTGATGCATTTTATAATTGATGCGTTTAAATGTCAATATTGCATGAAGAAACATGGACGAATTTCTCACAGACGTTGCTTTCTCTTTTTCCCTTTTCAAGACATATGTGAGGAACGGACAGAACGAGTAATCTTAGTTTCATCTGCATATGAAATTGATGTTCGTTCCTGTTTTCTTAACCCAAATGAAAAGAAAGGCCCTATAATTTGGTATAAAAATGACAGCAAGACACCTATATCTATGGATGTAGGTGCCAGGATTCATCAGCACAAAGATGAACTTTGGTTTGCTCCTGCCATGGTGGAGGATTCGGGGTATTACTTCTGCACCGTGAGGTAAGAAAGGAATCGATATGTTGCAAACATGTGTTCTGTGTGCCTGCAATAGGTAAGGACAGAAACATCTTTAATTGTGCTGAATTCACCTATTTTGATTGATTTTAGGAATGCAACTTACTGCCTCAAAATTAAAACAACCATTAAGTTTGTACAGCATGAACCTAACTTGTGTTACAACACAGAAGCTATCTTTACGCAGAGACTACCTGTTGCAGCAGATGGACAACTTGTGTGTCCCTATATGGACTTTTTTAAAGATGAAAATAATAAGTTACCAAAAATACAGTGGCAGAAGGTAATTTTATATTCAATATGGTATTTTACTTTTCCAGCAGATAGAAAAGTTTTCTGACCTAGACAATAGAGTGAATCTGCAGAGTACTTTTTCATTTGATGTATTGGTTGCTTTTGCGTGGTGAAACTTAATAGGAAATTTTTTTTTTAATTTTAAGACTGCATATATTTAATAAGTCTTACTTTCTGTTAATTTTATTTAAAACTGGATTGGGTAGCATTCCACTTCGTGTTTTGGTACCTTTGATCTACCTAGTTTGTTGGAATTTACATGGGGAATCATCTTGTTAGAGGTTAAGAAATACAAAATAATTAATATCAACGCAGAAAGGAAGTACAGCATTACTAAGAAACTATGGCATTAGCATTACGCCCTCAAACATGTTTTCCTTGCAAAGTAAATTTGTCTTCACTTGTCTTCAAAGTGCAAGGCTCACAGGCATAAAGATTTAATATCCTGGAAATGTGATTGGGATTATTGAAAAAAAATACTATATTAAAACTTGTACACAAGAAACATAGTCATATATATTCATATATGTGCTCAGCTTGCAATCATGTGTTTGGTATAAAACAGGTGTATGATGATGATTATTATAAATTTTCCTGAGGTTTTCAATTCATATATGTATGAATATATATGAATATGTACATATACATACATACACACACACACCACATGCATAAAATATTTGCCAATATGGAAAAATGGAGTTTCTTTTGCTGGTAGGCTGGGGAAAATCATTAATTGGTTTTAATACTTCCTTCCTCTCCTTCTTTCTAGGATTGCAAACCTCTACTTCTTGACAATATATACTTTAGTGGAGTGAAAGATAGACTCGTTATAGCAAATGTGACTGCAGCACATAATGGGAAATATACTTGTGGAATATTCTACATGTACTTGGGAAAGCAATATCGTGTTACCCGGGTTATAGAACTGAAGACTATAGGTGAGTCATAGCTCCAATCCTAGGAGTTTAAATCTGGGAAGGCCCAGAAACCATGGTTCTAATGGTACCTTCATTGTTCAGGGAGAAGCTAAACCCAAGAGAAGCTTGATAACTTGCCAAAGGTTGCATGGGTTTAGCTTTTTTGTTGCTAATACTGTGTACACGTTTTGCATTCCTGCTTTAGATGCAGGGCTAATTAGACAGACGGTAAGAGCTGTGTTTTCCAACTGAAGTAAGAGGCTTGTTCTTTGCCATGACTGAAGATGGTTCTTCCAGAGAGCTCTGGGGTTCCTTGTGACTAGAGTATGAGGAAGGGCAGTCCTGAGTGCTTTTGCTTGGGGAGTCTGAGTGTCTAGCAGTAAGGAACATCTACTTGATCTTGATGGGGTGGATGCTAATGGGCTTTGGAATGTGTTGCATTCCTAGAGTGTACTGTACCTCTTGTTAGTTTCTTGTTAGCTCAGTTATTTTCCCTCTCTAAGCCTCTTTCCTCCTCTGTAAGATGATACAACCTTCCAAGGTTGTTGGGGGAGATTAGTGACCAAGTATGCTCAGTCTGTGATCATGTGCCTGGTGCAAAACAGAGGAGAAATAAATAGGCATTGATAATTATTCTTGTAAATATTCCCGAGGCTTTCAGTTCACCTTAAAAGCGATTTTACAAGAAAATGCACTCCTACAAATAACCTGGGGATGGGCAGAATGCTCAGCCTTTCTGTAAATAGATTTTGTAAACTTTCAGTAATAAGAGTTCCTCTAACCATGACTTTAAAAGTTAAAGGGACCTTATTAGTGGTTATGCTGCGACAGCTGGCATAAATGGGGACTGTCTCGGGTAGACCCTAAACACAATCACCCTACATAGAGCTAAGTTTTCTCAATTCTCTAATAACTTATATATTTCAAACATTAATTTTATTGAATCAAAATGAATTCCTTGCCTAGTTCCTACAAGCATTAGTGAATTATAATTTTCAATGCTCCTTACATTACAACCATCTTAGCAGCCTCTCTGTGGCTGTGGGGTAGCTCTGGTTTGTCTTTCTTGACATACAGAAAGCAGACCAGCAGACAGAATTTTAGAGAGAACTAGGGAATTTTTTTAATAGAGTAAATATATTTTAAATACTCTCTGTCTTTTCTGATCCCTTTTATAGAAATAATATACTTCAGAGAAGAGGTCATATTTTGTTTTCAGAGAACAGACTCAGAAATATCAGTTGAGCATCTACTATATACCAGGCACTGTTCTAGGTATACATTAGGGAACAGAAGAGACAAGATCCAGCCTTAATGGAGGTTATTATTTATTTATTTATTTATTTATTTATTTTACTGTGGTGGAATACTGGGCATTTCAGTTCATAGTTTCTCAGGCTTGGCCACAGATGGACCTTTGAAGTCAATCTTCTTGGAAATAAAACACAGAGGAATTTCTGGAGCTCCTTGATACTCTTCTGCCCTTTTAAATAAATTCTGCCAAATCGCCTGGCATTGCACTCTTGGGTCATGACTGCACTTACTAAAGAGAAGCAGGTCTAGTGCGGGGTGGTCTCTCCGGTTCACGCATCATCCATGGAAGTCCCTCTCCACAGCTACTTGCTGTTCCTGACTTGCTTCGCGAGAGGCACTTGTCTAGAGTCCCTGTGATGTGTGTGTTTGTAGCACCAAACTCAACGGGTTGCGCAGGGCCCAGGCTTACCAGCAGGCATTGTGCTTAGCCGTGACATCCGCATTGGCCTCTTTCCTTCATCTCTTGTCTTCTGTCTCCTGCCATCTACGCTTTGGGCACGCAGGGGCATATCTGGCCCGCCGCCACGTGGTATGTCTTCGTACATTTTGTTAACTGTTGTCATCAGTTGAGATTCCGATCTGTAAGAGACTAAGAAGCCCTGTGGATGTTTGTCTTTCAGAAGAATACAAGCCTCTGAGGCCTGTAATTGTGAGTCCAGCTAACGAGACGGTGGAAGTAGGGCTGGGTAAGTGGGTTCCAATCACCCTATGCTGAAATCATTATTTTGAATCAAGATTAAGATAAACTCTACCTTTGCTACACATCACCAAAACTGTTTACTGAGTAGATCTGTAATTAGTGGGAAAATAAAAACAAAGTATGTCTTTAAAAGTTTCTTTCGATTTCCTGCCTCTCCTAGCAGAAATCTAGTCACATCTGATTTGCCCACCCTCACTTTCCTGTGGATGTTTCCATGAAGACATCAGCCAAAGGCTAAGTTCAACAGGACTAGAAGTGAGAAATGTAATTTATCTGACTGGCACGGGATGGATTTCTTAAGATCAGAACTAAGCTTTTAGACTGACGGGTAGGATAACAGACCGAAAAGGAAAAGTATTTTTCTAGAATGACCACCAAGTCAGTGAAATTTTTTTATTTCAAGAGCAAAGACATAATCCTATAAGCATCCAGACCTACTTTATACAATCCAGTAACCACTAGCCATATGTGGCTATGTACATGTAACTTTAAATCAAGTAAATTAATTAATTTAGTTCAATTAAAAAATAGTCCTTCAGTCACATTAGCCATATTTCAAGGGCTTAGTAGCCATATGTGTCCAGTGTTTATTTTATTAGCACAAATATAGAACATTTCTTCCATCACCGAATGTTCTCTTGAAAACCACTGGTCCAAACATAAAAACAGATTTTGGTATCAGAGGATCAAAAGCCAGGCTGAAATGCAAAGTTCTTTTCTGTAAAAGTCACTGCATGAAGACAGTGAATAGCTGTAAGGAGATTAGAAGGTAAACATTTGTGACCACAGAGATCACAAGGAGGCCTAGAGGCAGGTGGAGGGGGCGGTGCGGGGGAAGCAGGCTCCTTGCTGAGCAGAGAGCCTGATGCGGGGCTCGATCCCAGGACCCTGGGATCATGACTGGAGCAGAGGCTTTAAACCACTGAGCCATCCAGGCACCCCTTGGAGTTTGTTTTTTTATTTATTTGACTGAGAGAGACACAGCAAGAGAGGGAACACAAGCAGGGGAAGGGGCAGAGTTGGAGAAGCAGGCTTCCTGTTGAGCAGAGAGCCTGATGCGGGGCTCGATCCCAGGACCCTGGGATCATGACCCGAGCCTAAGGCAGAGGCTTTAACCCACTGAGTCAGCCAGGCGCCCTCCTTCTTAGTTCTAATGCCACAGATCTACTGTATATCTGTTGCTCTACCACGGCACTTTGCCGGCCCACAAACCATTGCAATATCTAGGATTTTCTTGCCCTCTCCCCACGAACCACTTTTTGCCCTGTTGGCCATAGCTTCTATTAAGAATTCATGTTCTAGAGGCATACATTTTAGGCCTCTGAAGTTCAGGTGGCATTGATCTCCAAATCAAAAAAATAGCTTCATGTTAGGAAATAATTATTTTAATATACCCCGTTGACCAGATGCACGCATCACCCCGTCACATGATTATCCTGAAGGGTGTCAAACAAGCTTATGCTAAGGTTCAGTACCAATAAAATGACTTAGAAAAATAGGAACTGGGGATACTTCCTTAACTTAATAAATAACATCGATTCAAACTGATAGTCCCTAATATTCTTAATGGAGAACCACACTAGTGTGAGACGTTCTACAGGCATAGACCCTCCAAGCAAAGATGCCCAAATAACCAGCATTGCTTCACATATTCTAGAAGTGCCCCGTTGATACCGTCATACATAAAAGAACCAAGGCATGCTTACTGTAACAGGGAAGAGGACTTTATTATTTTCAGATCATATAATGTACGTATGTATTTCAAGAGAGTTACCGGGGAGAGGTTAGAATTAATATATTATTAATTGGCCAGATACAAAATTAATATTCTAGGTGTAGCGGAAGTCCCTTCAGCTGCGGTGGTGTGCTGTGGGGAAGAGATGGATTTCTAAGTCCCCGAGCGAGGTCCTGCCTCCCTGAGACCACTACTACGAGGAGGAGACTCTGGGTGAAGCCGTCATCACTGTGTTTGACCAGGAGGCAAAACCTTTAACTGGGGACTTGAGGGATAAGAAGGAAAGGGTGTACATTAAACTCAGTCACTGGACATGGTGGCAGTGAGATTCACTTTGAAGTGACGATGGCGGACGACACATCTCAGGAAACTCAAAGAATCATACTGTCAAAGACCGGATGTTCCCGTGAATTCACTCAGGTTTTTCTTCGAAGGTCAGGGGATTGCTGATAATGATAGTCCAGGGGAGCTGGGAATGGAGGAAGGTGTGATTGAAGTTTATCAGGAACAAACAGGGAGGTCATACCACAGTTTAGATACTATTTTTATTTTTTTCTTCTTTCCCCTTAATCCTCTTTTAGTTTCAAATAATTCTTTTGTCATGTGGCGTTCAAGATGGAATTGAAGACTGGCCCCTTACCTCCTTAAGGCATCTGGTGGTGTGAATTCTGGTGTCCATTAGTCATTATCGTTTGTTTTCCTGGCGCTGAGTTTTGGTGATGAAACCTCAGTTCCTGTCGCCCTCTCCTTTTTACAAATGACACATGTGCACAGAGGGGCTACCCTTTTCCAGGACTGTGCGTCTTCAGGCTTGTGGTAAATAACTCGCCAATGCTAGTGTTCATAATGGCTTTCTGACTGGCCCTGAAATTCTGGCTCGTGATTACGTCCCTCCTGGACATGTGGCTTTCAGTAGGAGATGGAAGTTTCTCAGAGAACTGAGCTGTGGAAAAACGGTCTTTCCTTAACTTAAAGCTGCTTTTAAAATTTGAGGGTCTGGCCCCAAAGAAGAGGAATATTGGGCTGAAGTTGAGGGGCCGTAGAGATGGTGAAGATAGGGACTAACTCCAAAGATGGCTTCACTGAAGATAAACCATTTTAAGCTTAAAGAAAGAGCTTGTCATAAGACTCCCCGAAAACTTGTGATTTTCATAAGTAGTTAATAAAGTTTTTCATGCAGAAGTGTATGCAACAGAGCACTGCTCTTTTTATTTCATTTGTACTTTTTGGCCTGGGTATAGGGGTTTTAAATGGACATTGTCTATACCAACTTCATTAAAATAAAAATATTTGTAGAAGCAAGCAAGTGACTAAAATTGATATTCTAAAATGGTAAACGTGTTTGGCAATAACTGGCTAGAGAACATAATGGGCAAAGAGATCCCATTTGCAGCAAGTCATAGAGATGTTTATAAAATTCTTAGCAAAATCTTTCAAAAGTATGTAGGATTTATAGGAGAGGAAAAAAACGCACAAATTCTGACCTATCTCTCAGGAAAATTGAGATTTAAAGCTTACATATAGACAAAGAGTGGGAGTGATGTTATTTCCAATGGGGAGAAAATTTGTTCTTAGTGGAAAAAAATCTAAAGGAATATACTGTGTCTGTGGTATTAAAAATTCACAGGGAGGGAAGTTAGGATAAAAATGTCTTAAAAGGCTCCAAAGGGAAACAATAATGAAAACAATCTTGAGAAACACCGAATTAAGGAAAACTGTAATAGAAATGTCTATTTTTTCTTACATGGAAAACTGGAAATTGTAAAGATAGCAACTCCTAAAATTATAGTTTTAATGGAACTCCAATAAAAATATGAATGGGCACAAAAGTTGGCAAGTAGTTCTAAAATTCACCCAGAAGATTAAAATGATGAGATTATTAAGATAATCTTGGGAAGAAGAGCTCTAAATGATACTAACATTTACCCTAACACTGCAGTAATTAAGATTTGTGGTACCACTGGCATCAGTATACGCATTCGAATCAAGAAAGTCTCAAATAAGTAATTTATTTTCTATAAAAGTGGCATTACAAATTGTTATTCAATAAGTGGTTCTGAAATGATCAATCAGCTATTTGGACAAAAGCCTTAGGTTAAATCTCTCCCTCACACCATACCCAATTATATTCTAGATAGAGTAAAGAACTAAAACAATCAAAACAATGAAAACATTTTATATACCTCAATGAAAATGTACATAGATATTTTCCCGATTTTAGAAAAAAATTGTGAGAACAGATAAAACAGAAATTTGACCAAGTAAAAAATAAAAATATCTATACCCAAAGAATTTCCATAAACAAAAATAGAAGGAAAGCAGTGAACTCTGAACAGTATTTGGAATAGTTTTCATGCATGATAAAGAGTTAATATCATGGCTATTATAAAGAGCTCCCACACAGCAGTGAGGTTTATATGAGACTCAATTAAGTAATGGCATAACAAGCAGTTCTTAAAGGCAAATGAATACTAAACTTATAAAGGACACATTCATTCACCCTGATTTCAAGCAATGCTGTTGAAAATTTAAATGGAATTTTTTTTTTCTCTTGTTGGTCAATGACCAAAAGTATTTGGAATCTGGGGGCTAAGGGGATAAAAAGCACTTGCTTACACTGCCGGACAAAGTGATGTTATGTATAGTCTCCCTTGGGTGAGGGGGGCTGGCTTTTTAAATCTGTACTTACTGATTCAAAGTAGTGCTTCAGTATATGTACAATATTGATGTGCAAGAATAATCATTAGAATATTAATCCTAACAGTGAAAAAATTAGGAACAAATTGTGTTTAGCAATAGGAAAAGCATCAATCCTAATGTATTTGTATTATGGAATAGTAAAAGGCCTTGAAACAGACTATTTTGGAAGGCTGATCTCATGAGCAGGAATTCCCAGGATACAATATTTACAAATAGTAGACCATAACACTCCATTTTTAAAATTGCATGTGTACACAGAGAAGATGAGGAATGAGAGGCATGAAGTTATTAATCACAGTTATCTCCAAGTGGTGGGTTTAAGGGCAATTTTTCTTTTTCTTTGTACTTTTCTATAATTTAAAATCTTTACTCAATGGCCATTTATTAATCTAGATAGATCAGATAAAAGTCAATTGCTAAGATTAAAACTACATTGCTTTGCAGGATCCAAGCTGCAATTAATCTGCAATGTCAGTGGCCAGTTTAGTGACTCTGTCTTCTGGAAGTGGAATGGGTCAGCAATTGACGAGGACGACTCCGTGCTGGCAGAGGAATATATGCTGTAAGTATGCTAAAATGTGCAACAGAGAAGTTGTGGTATTAAATTTCATGTTGTGAAATGTATACAACCTTGATGGTTTAGTTGGATAGCAAAAGTTAGTTGATGGGCCCTTGGTGCTTTGCTGTCCCTATTGAGTTTTGCTGAGCTGAACAGGATTTTTAAGATCTTCTACACTTCAGGTAAAAGTACGTGTCATTGTGGTGCAAATAACAGACCACTTGGAAGGCTTTCTCTTGAATTTGGGTAAATATGTTAGAACATTCCAATGAAGCAACTTTCCTGAATTACCCTTCATGTTGTTCTGTTTTTTTTTTTTTTCTTTTCTTTAATTGTGTTATGTGAGTCACCATACAGTACATCATTAGTTTGTGATGTAGTGTTCCATGATTGTTCCACGATTCATTGTGTGCATATAGCACCCAGTGCTCCATGCAATCTGTGCCCTCCTTAATACCCATCACCGGGCTGGCCCATCCCCTCAACCCCCCTCCCTTCTAAAACCCTCCGTTTGTTTCCCTGGAGTCCATAGTCTCTCGTGGTTTGTCTCCCACTCCTATTTCTCCCCCTTCATTTTTCCCTTCTCCTAATGTCCTCCATGTTATTCCTTATGTTCCACAAGTAAGTGAAACCATGTGGTAATTGTCTTTCCCTGCTTGATTTACTTCACTCAGCATAATCCTCTCCAGTCCCATCCATGTTGATGCAAAAGTTGGGTATTCATCCTTTCTAATGGCTGAGTAATAGTCCATTGTGTATATGGACCATATCTCCTTTATCCATTCATCTGTTGAAGGGCATCTCGGCTCTTTCCACAGTCTGGCTATTGTGGACATTGCTTCTATGAACACTGGGGTGCATATGGCCCTTCTTTTCACTACATCTGTATCTTTGGGGGTAAATACCCAGTAGTGTAATTGCCAGTTCTATTTTTAATTTTTTAAAAAATATTTTATTTATTTATTTGACAGAGATCACAAGTAGGCAGAGAGGCAGGCAGAGAGAGAGAGAGGAGGAAGCAGGCTCCCTGCTGAGCAGATAGCCCAATGGGGAGCTCCATCCCAGGACCCTGGGACCATGACCAGAGCTGACGGCAGAGGCTTTAACCCACTGAGCCACCCAGGCACCCCTATTTTTAATTTTTTGAGGAAACTCCATGCTGTTTTCCGAAGTGGCTGCACCAATTTGCATTCCCACCAACAGTGTAAGAGGGTTCCCCTTTCTCCACATCCTCTCCAACATTTGTTGTTTCTTGCCTTGTCGAGTTTGTGTTCTGGTTTTTTAAAAAGTTGAGGAAGGACTCGTTAAGTGGGACCAAGAATCAGGGGCTCCACGTCTCAAGTCTCTAGTGGCTCTCTGTTTCCTCTCTAGGGATCAACTCCCGACTCCTTAGCATTCTCCTTGGCCATCTGCTCCAGGCTCCTCGTCTCATGCATTCTTCTCCGTGCCCTCATGGTGACTAGAATGCACATCCATCTTTTTCTTCTTGGAAGCTGGTAATTTTACTTTGATCTCTGCTTCTGAGTCTTTTACAGACAGTGGTCTTTGCGCTATAAAATCTCAGATCAGTATTGCTAACAGCCTGGTTATTATTCCTCTGCATAGGGCTGGTGATAACTTCTGCTGCAATTCATGTGGTGAATAAAGAGATAAACCATATATATGTGTCTCAGTTATAGTTTTCCTTAAACAAATTCATTTATTCTCTCTCTTTTGAACAGAGTAAAAAATCCTTCAGAAAGAGGAAAGGATACAGTCATCGCCATTCTTAATATTTCAGAAGTGGAAAATAGGTTTTATCTATATCCATTTACTTGTATAGCCAGGAATACAGATGGCCTAAGTTCAGCATATATCCAATTAATACATCCAGGTAAACAACAGAATATTTGAAATGCAGTTTTGGTTTACTGTTGCAAGAGTCTATGACCTTGAGGTTCGCAGTGCTGTTTCCTCTGCCTGGAATGCTTTTGGAGTCCTCTTAACCTGGCAAACTTCTATTCTTTCACTTGTCAGCTGTACCATTTCTTCTCCTGGAAGCTTTCTGTCCTTTTGCCTGCCCTTAACAAGCTCTCTGACCAAACAGACAAGGTTAGTGCCTCTGTTATATAGTTTCAGAGAACCCTATGCCCCTGTCACAGTATCTGTCATACTTAGTTTTCTTTATTGATTTAAATTCTATGATGGTGCTGACCACTTATCTTAACAGTCATTCTATTTCCAGAGCTAGTAGTGACTTAAATCTGGCATATCATAGGTATCTAATGAACATTTTAAGTAAACGACAGCATAATGGACAGGGGAATCTTAAATATCCACTTTCCAGAGAGGATGTCAGAAGTTACTGGCGTTTTTTTCAATTACAGAATCAAACACAATATTAAAAATATTTGTGAAATATTTTGATTATTTGTAGTTGGATTAAGTATAGGGTATTTATGAATATGTACATGGGAGAAAATTTAAAAACCTATAGACAAACTATTAGAATTAGAAATGAATTTAACAAGATCACTAGTGCCTCTCTACATGTAAACACATATATGTACATACATACAGTATTTCTATGTAGTCAATAAATACCAACAACAAATAGAAATTAAACTTAAAAGATTATAATAGTATCAAAAATTATCAAATACTTAGGATGAATCTGACAAATGCTATTTAAGACCTCTGTGATACAAACTAAAAAAAGTCATTGAGATAAATTAGAAAAGACCTAAATAGGTAGAAGGATATACAATGTTCATAGATTGAAAGACTTTGTATTATAAAGATATCAGTTCCCTCCAAATGAATCTATAGATTCAAAAAAAATTCCAACCAAAATTCCAACAGTATTTGTGCAAGTTTGGGTATGTGTTTATGTGGGTGTGTTGCTGTGGGCAGGTTTATTCTTAAAGTCATATGGAACTGTTAAGGGGCAAGAATTATCAAGGTGGTATTGAATAAAAATAGCAAATCTGGAAGATTTACACTACAGGTATCATGATTTTGTGTGAAACTACCATAATTAAGGCTATGAGTGTGAACTATCCATTGGGCCAATTGGATATTGGTCTGAAAAATGGTGTATATCTTGATTCCTATTTCATATTTAAATCAGCTGCAGATGGATCCAAGACCCAGATTGGGAAATTAAAATAATAGAGCTTTTAGACTCTCTTTTCTGGATGCCTACATGAGCCCTGACATTTAGAAGGCACTTTTTTCTTCTTTCTTCTCTACACCACACCCCCTTACCTTTCCTTCACCTTGCTACTCTGCCCCTCCTTCACTGTAATCATTGGAGGGAATGAAGCTAGAAGAATGTGGAAGAGTGACACATTCTGTTTGGCATTCCTAAGCCCCTTCTTTCCTTTCCCCTAGACTTCAGCTTTCCTGATTCTTATACCTCTAGAAACTTCTGTAGGGTTTTGAGTGACTTTGACTTGTTTTACTCTGAAGTGCTCTATCCTATGCACTTTGGCACTTTTTCTGTGTTATCGTATATAGCAGACCCTTGACTAACATGGGAGTCAGGAGCATCAACACTTCTATCCCAGTCAAAAATTCGAGTATAACTTCGAGTCCCCAAAACTTTACTGCTGATAGCTTGCTGTTGACCCCATAAACAGTTAATATATATTTTGTATGTTATGTGTATTATATACTACGTTCTTACTATACGGTAAGCTAGAAAAAAGAAAATGTTATTAAGAAAATCATAATTTATAGTAACTGTATTGTAAAAAAAAAAAAAAAAAAGTATAAATTGACCCATGCAGTTCAAACCTGTACTGTTCAAGGGTCAGCTGTATTGTAAAATTTAGGTGGAAATTTAATACAGTGCACCGCAGTTTTATAAAGTATCAATTCTAGATGGCTTTGTATATTAGTATGTTTTATTAAGTGATAATAATGAATATGTTAATATTATCTGCGATTTGGGATGGCAGAACAGTCCCAAAAATGGTTTCTCTGAGATGATAATATTTAATTTGGTACTCCCAAATTTTTAATTATTTTGGTTCTAATATCTTTTTTTTCCTCTTCTCTGCTATAGTGCCTGATTTCAGGAAGCACACTATTGGTGTATTTGTCATGTTAACAGTAATAATTACATGCTCTGTTTTCATCTACAAAATCTTCAAGGTTGACATTGTGCTTTGGTACCGGGATTCTTGCTATGATTTTCTCCCCAAAAAAGGTATGATTTTGTATTCTGGGCAACTTTTCCTTGTTGGAGAGAGGGGGTAGTTAAGAGAGAACAGAAGATAACTGAGAGGCTTTTTACTTAAATTTTAAAATGAAAAGTGGCATATACAAGCATAGTAGTTACTCTTACACGTCATTATAGTTTGGGGACTGAACAGGCTGAATAGGATTGTTTGCAAGTTCCTGCTTTAGTGTTCCTCACAGCGGGATAAACAGGCATTTCAGAGCATTTGTTTGCCGGTCCAGTTTAGTACTGTTGAGGGTCGGCCCCTTGCTGGGTAGGACATAGATGACCCCATGATCTGCCTTCAGAGGAAAGAAACGATTTTCATGCACCAGGGAAGCCCTCGCTTTCTCTTTTGTTTAATCCTTGCAAAAAAAAAAAAAAAATTTAATACTACGATACTACATAAAAGGAAGAATGGATAGAATTCAGGGCTGAGACACAGGGAAGAAGATAAGACCAGGTTGCTAAGGATAGTTCCCCGACCAAGAGGAAAAGAATCTCTGCACATGAGGCGGCCATTCAGTAATAAAGAATACATTCAGGGTGATACACAATAAAATAGAGACTTGTAGGAGAGCGCCACTTTAAAAAGTTACTGTATTTTTGGTACAGCTGCTTCATTCATACACACACACACACAAATTAATAATTCATTCTGAACTGCATGTTGGGGAGACTGACGTTACCAATTCTTTCCTTTTTTTGGATCTAAATATTTCACATTTTCTCCTCTAGCTTCAGATGGAAAGATCTATGATGCTTACATACTATATCCAAAGACTCTTGGGGAAGGGTCCACCTGTCCCTCAGATATTTTTGTGTTTAAAGTCTTGCCTGAGGTCTTAGAAGAACAGTATGGATATAAACTGTTCATTTATGGAAGGGATGCCTATGTTGGGGAAGGTGAGTGTGTCGCGGAAAAGAGTAAAAGTCTTCATTGTAAAAATAATCAAGAAATTAAAAATAGAGCTTCCCTATGACCCTGCAATTGCACTACTGGGTATTTACCCCAAAGATACAGATGTAGTGAAAAGAAGGGCCACCTGTACCCCAATGTTAATAGCAGCAATGGCCACGGTTGCCAAACTGTGGAAAGAACCAAGATGCCCTTCAACGGACAAATGGATAAGGAAGATGTGGTCCATATACACTATGGAGTATTCTGCCTCCATCAGAAAGGATGAATACCCAACTTTTGTAGCAACATGGACGGGACTGGAAGAGATTATGCTGAGTGAAATAAGTCAAGCAGAGAGAGTCAATTATCATATGGTTCCACTTATTTGTGGAGCATAACAAATAGCATGGAGGACAAGGGGAGATGGAGAGGAGAAGGGAGTTGAGGGAAATTGGAAGGGGAGGTGAACCATGAGAGACTATGAACTCTGAAAAACAATCTGATGGTTTTGAAGGGGTGGGGGGTGGGGGGTTGGGGGAACCAGGTGGTGGGTATTGGAGAGGGCACGGATTGCATGGAGCACTGGGTGTGGTGCAAAAACAATGAATACTGTTACGCTGAAAAGAAATTAAAAAAAAAATAATAATTGCTAAAGTTAGGTTTTGTCTTTCTAGAAGGACCATGGTGTAGGTATACAGATTTGGCCGTTTTAAGAACCTCCTCGGTGGTGTGTGATGGCGATTTTCACATCTATTAAATGCAAAATACTTACTTTTCTCATATTTTGCTGGTAGAATAATTAACTAAGTTTTATTTAGTTTTGGAAAACTTCACAACTAGTTAGATCCAATAGTTACTTTCCACCTGAGATAGCACCACAGGAGTGGAAGAAATAAAATGGTTTAAGGTTTTAAAATTTCTACCAGAAATAGATTCTGAGTCCTAAATGAAATATTCAGCTTTTGTGGGTCAGGTTTTGAGTTGGTCTATAAAATCAGAAACTTCTTTAATCTTAATTAAGATGAGAAAAAAGAGGGGGCATCTGGGTGGCTAAGTTGGTTAAGCAGCTGCCTGCTCAGGTCATGATCCCAGGGTCCTTGCATAGAGTCCCAAAGAGGCTCTCTGCTTCTCCCTCTGCCCCTCCCATGCTCATGCTCTCTCTTTCTTTCTCATATAAGTAAATCTTAAAAAAAAGAAAAAAAGGGATGGGAAAAAAGAGCATTAGAAGACAAAAGGGATGGGATGGGAAGAACCTTGTGGGGTTTTGGTTTGGGAGAGAATGATTATTAATTGAAATTTTACTCACTCTTACTGTGCTTCATGTTTTTAGACATTGTTGACGTCACTAATGAAAACATAAGGAAAAGCAGAAGACTGATTATCATTTTGGTCCCAGAAGCAACAGGATTGGGCTGCCTGGGGAATTCATCTGAAGAGCAGATAGCCATGTACAATGCTTTCGTTCAGGATGGAATTAAAATTGTCCTGCTCGAACTGGAGAAAATCCAAGACTATGAGAAAATGCCAGAAACCATTAAATTCATCAGGCAGAAACATGGGGCCATACGCTGGTCAGGGGACTTTAGAGAGGGGTCATGGTCTGCAAAGACAAGGTTCTGGAAGAAGGTCAGATACCACATGCCAGTCCAGCGGCAGCCCCCTTCATCCAAACCCCAGTTTCTGTCCTGGGCCACAAGGCCAGACTCTAAGAAAACGCTGCAGAAGGAGGTGCAGGTGCCTCTCGGGTAGCAGGGGAGAAGCTCGGCCCAGAGTTCCTTGGGTGACTCCCGTCTTCGGGCATTATAGGCTGGGCTGTGCCCCCACTGACCGTACAGTCATAAAATGCACCTGTGGCATCCCTTATCCCTGAGGTCATCTGGAATCAGATCGTTAAGGGAACAGAATGTGGTGGTGATAGCAGGTCAGCCCAATTCAGAACCGAGGGCTTGGAAATCCTTTTAGAAAGCAACAGATGCCCTGCCTGAGTTTTTGGACTGCTAACAGGCACCGGGACTGCAAATGAGAGGGAAGAACTAGCAGGAAATATTTAGCATCTATAAACGGTTTTATGATGTTGTCTACAGTCCAAGGGCGGGGCCGTGGCCCAGTTCGGGTACTGCCTGGTCCCTTGCCCGCGCCCCCCCCGCCGGCTTTCCTTGGCAAAGTGAGACTGGTATTTCACAGACAAGGGTAGGAGAACTTTGCATTTGCTTTGCACTTTCCATATGCATCGACAGCCAGCTCTCCTTTTCTAAAGACTGCATTTCATTTTACAGACATTTATAACTCTCATTTTGGTGAAAAGAGGGATTTGTCAGGATTGCATGTTTTTGAAATAACCTTAGCTTTGTGCTGGAGAGAGAGACTAAAAAGCAGGAATTGCAGAGACCTGATCCAGCTCTGCATGCTTCCCTCGCTGGAATGACCATTCTGTTCTACCCTCCTCTTCTGCATTCCACTTGACTCATCGCTTCTTTGGAAGGACAACTTCCAAGTCACTTCCTCCTCCTCTCTGCCACACACCTGGCCCACAGATTGATTAGCTGTCCTTCATGAAGTGCTGCTCTAAGCTCCTCCTGCTCTTACTAAAAGCCCTCTGCGGGGCTTCTCCTGGTTGAGGAGCCAACACCCTATTTCCCCAGTCTGTCTGCATGGCTGTTCCCTCACCGTCCTGCTGTGTGAATTCCCAAGTCAGCCTCGTGTGCCTTCACGCCCACCACTCCTGCTCCCTCATACCTGCTTCTCCTCCTGTCTCCTCTGACCAGAATGCCTTCTCGAATTTTCTCCAGCAGACCAGAGTTTTATGAAATTTGAAATTTACTCCAGCTCTGTTTCTTTAAGAGATTTCCCCAGGAAACTGCCCTAGGACACCAGCTCTCTCCTCTGAGTCTGGTAGCACTTAGTCTGTTGGCTGTCACTTTATGAGAAGGCGTTCTGTCTCCAGCCAGAAACTCTGCTCTTGGCTGGGAAGGCTGTGGGTGTGTCTCTCCTTGTCTGGGTGCCTTCCAAGTGATTTGCCTACTTGACGTGGATTTGGGTAGGGCTTTCTTATTGAAAAATGCCCACAGGTGATCAGATTTAAGTTTCATAATCATCCTAATGTTATAGAGAGAGCAAGTGACCTATTTTTTAAAAAAATACATTCTTAGTGCTGTCGGACCTAGGGCTCACAACGGTGTTGCTGGCTTTGAGTGTAGTAGTGTCTTGAACACTTGACTTCGGGTCAATAAATGTCTCTTTCAGTCCTACCCCTAGCACTTTTGTGAGAAGAAATGATTGTTTTCTAGGATGTTGGCTGAGTCTAGGAAGGCTTGCATTTAAGAAACCAAATTCTAAACTTCTGAGTGTTGGAATTGACAAAAATTCTGGTTAGGTTTTCTGAAAACTATTTCTGCTTTCATATATTCTTTCCTGAAAGGTAAATATTTCTTAGTGAATTAAAATTGAAAGCAAGTTAGATTTTTGGTATAGGAAACTATTTTTTAGAACTTGATGGTACTCCTTAGAGAAACCCCAGAAAACTGAAAAGCCAAGTTCACATGCCACTTGCCCCATTTTAAAGGTTGATGAACATGGATGGGCCCTCTGTTTTTTTATTTTTAATGTTCATTGTTACGAGTGAACGCAAACTGGCACAGTGTATCCCCGTCCCCCACAGTGATCAGAGCTAGACAGAAACAGAGCTGAATGCTCTGCCTCTTCTCTTTCCACCTGCTTTTTCTTGGATCCGATCTGGAAGCCTTGACTAATAGCACTGTTTTGGAACTGCTGTTTCCAAAAAAACAGCCTTATTTTTATTTTGGCTGGGGTTTGGGGCTGTCATGGCCAAAAGGCCTATCAGCTACTTAAAACCTAGGTTGCTGATGATTTTTAGCCTGTCATCTATAAAATACACTTGCATGTGTAGCACCAAGGAAGCCAATTCTGAAACCTAGACTTAGCAGCAAAGTTGGCGAGAAAAATAAGGAGTGGGGAGACTGACCAAGAGTTACCAGTGGCATTGCACCTGGAGTTCAGGGAGGGACAAGAATCAAGGGATGTGCCTGGGACCAGGAGGAGCCCCAACAGGAAAGCGCATGTCACCGCGTCATTCCCATTTCCCAGGGGAGGATTCAGGAGGAAGGAGCGACACTGTTAGTTCTCTGGGAACTTCCTTTGTTTTATTGTTCCCCCCCAAACCTCTTTTAAGCTCTTCCTTTCAGGCCTTCCTCATTAATTAGATTTTACTGCATTATCTGATGGTGGTCAGCCTAAGTTTTTGAAGGAAACTTTGCCAACAAAGCCTTTCGCTTCCAGTAGTGAAAACTGGTTTAGCAGAATTTGTATTTTCCTTCTCCTACCGCCTCTTTGTGTATTTGTGATAAAAGAAAAGGTATTGAGCCATTTTTTCCAGTGGTATTTTTGATAAATTATATTTTTACTGGTTAATAATGAAGGGTTTTTAGAAATGTCTTTATACGATTATGAGCAGATACCAAGTATTTTTATACAGTAAAACACCTGATTCATGTACAGCATGTATCACTGGTCAATGGATTGAATTTATTTTCCAATAAAATTGGCAAAACCTAGTATTGAATATTCTCATGAAAATCTGTTTCTGCACGGCCGTATCCTGGGCTTACTGAGCCACACTCCCAGCTCTGACGTAGGGAGGGGACCCCTGGTGCCTGGGGAATTTGGAGGCCATTAGCCAGCCACTGAGCCCTGAATCCCATCTGTAGCTTCCGGGGCAGTCTACTTGTTTGCTTGCTTCTAAAATGGATTAAAATGTGAGTTTGTTTTTTTTTAATGATTTGCTGTTTACTAGTTCAAAAAGGTTAAGGGCAGCATTTGTATGGACTTTTTTACATTTTACAAAAAGTTTCTGTTGCTTTTCTCCTTTGACCCTGGAAGTGAACGAAATCGGCCAACATGGTGTCCACAGCGCAAGCTCACAATGCTCAGGAACTCCAGGGATCAGAGAGAGCCCTGGCCGGTCAGTGCTGCTCTGTTCTCATCTCCCAGCTCTTCTCACATGGCTGGTGGCTCTGGCAGCACCCAGGGAGCACGCCCGAGGGAGGCGGGTCAGCCCAGAGTCTGAAGGCCCACCCTAGATTCTGCCTCCTCCTTGGTGTGCAAATGTGGACAAACTATCAGAGCCCCAGTTTCCTCACCTATAAAATGGGTATAATATCTCCTTCGTAGAGCTGTGAAGGACAAACTATCAGAGCCCCAGTTTCCTCACCTATAAAATGGGTATAATGTCTCCTTCGTAGAGCTGTGAAAGGATTAGAAGGATGAGGTATCTTCTGACAGGCACTGTGCCTGATGTACAGCAGGTCCTCAGGAAATGGAAGCTTGGTTAGTAGCAATTCTATGAATAAACTTCGGTCATATTAGAATCTGCAAATAGAATGGAATTGCATAAGAGAATCTGCAAACCAGAAGTGGCAGCTGACACCGAGGAAAGTGGGAAGTCAAGCCATTGGAAAAATAAAGTACAAATGCTCAGATGAAGCTGTGCGACACAGAGGCCAAGAGCCCTGCTCCCATCAGCCCCCGAGTGACTGTGTCACCGAGGACTGAGGACCGGCATTACTGTGTCACCGAGGACCAGTGACTGATGCTCATTCACACTGGCCCTCTGCTGCCCAGGGACTTGAAGGGATGTCTGGTTTCTAAAGAAAGGGATTTCACACATTCCTGAAGGATTTCTCAGTAAAAATGAAAAAATGCAAGAACCTCTGAAAATTTGGGGATCAGCTATCCAGAAAACTTGCCTCTACAGAATTTCTTACCGGAAACATTCAGAGAGCTTTCCACCAGATTTTGGTTATTTTACCACTTACTATGTTTTTTTAACAAACAAATCAATGCTAACAATCATTTAAAGAAAATATTTAAAAGTGGGTTTTTTTTTTTTTTGGAATGAGGATTTTTATTCTCTTTACCAAATAACTTCCTCAGAATACGGTTTGTTTTGCTTTGTTTTTTGTGTGTTTTTTGCTCTTTTGAAATGTTTCTTAGTCGGGATGTTATCTGGTAGAAAAATTCCTGGTTATAAATTCCTGCACTGTCATAGTTTTGAAGAGAGAGCAAAGCACTTTGTTGGTTTGTACCTCTGTTTTCTCATCTGTGAAATAGGACTTCCTGTGTTTCAAGGTTTTTATGTGTGGAAAGCCTCTGTCCAGCATCTGAGAAAGAACCTCAAAATATATATTTTTTTAATTTTGCCTTTTGATCAGATAAAACAACAACAACAAAAAATCCCATTTATCCAGAATGTATCTTTTTCAGATTCTGGGGTTTTGGGTGTGGAGGGAGCGGAAGGCATATCATCTTTTTTTTTTTTTTTAAGATTTTATTTATTAGAGAAAAAGCAGGGGAGGGGCAGAGGGAGAAGGAGAAGCAGTTTCCCTGTTGAGCAGGGAAAAAGGCATATCATCTTGGAGTTAACTTCTAAAAATGATAATAGCTTGTATTTAATTCAGTTTTACCAAGTCAGGATCTGGCTTGTTATTTTTAATGTACACTTCACCCTGGAAAAATGCAGGTTTGAACTGTGCATTGTTCCAGGATCACTTGTATAGCAGGTTTCCCAGATAATAATTGAGGGGCTTTTAAATACAGGTATCATGGAGTTATAAAATCAGATTTCCTCAAGCTAATTTGTCAGAAGAAAATCTTTCCATCTTTGAGGCTAGAATGTGTGAGTGTGGTGAGTTGGGCTTGATGTGAAAGCCACAGAGAGGGTAGCAGGTAGCAAGAGAATGTTCTGGAATTGGGATGGGGCCAGTTGTTCCTTTTTCACTGAGATAAGATGCACAAATGCACCACGGCAGTAACCAGAATTCATAAAATAGGAAGAATAGATCACACATAAAAAAATCTACACGGGGAGATAGGTGAGAGGGATCTTCTTTTGCTGTATCAACATTTATTTTACAGCCAAAATATGATTGTGTGTGTGCGTGTGCACATATTTGTTTTAGGGAGAGGAAGAGTTACAGGAAACAGAACACTATCTAAAGTGAGTATTAACCTGTCAAAACAAAAAACATGTTCATCTTAACACATGTTGCTTAGGTCTTGGCTGATTAAAGCACACAGACCCTGTGTGTTCACCTTAAGCCAGCAAGAGAAGAAACATGGCCCCAGGTAGGAGGCTACCCCCAACATTAACCCGGCAGTCAGGAGAATTTGTAGCTGTGAGACCAGTGGAGCCTGTTACCACTTGAATCTAGATGAACAGGATGTTGTTCTTGAGGCCTATGCTGGGAATTGGAAGACGAATTGACTGAGAGTGAAAGTCAGTGAAGCTTGTTTTTCTCAGAACCTTTGACCTGGAAGTGATCCCAAGTGTCACTGGGATCCCTCTTCTGGATCAGGGACAAGGTGTCTTTTCTGTGAGCATAGGCATGCATTTCTATTTGGCATATCCCTCAGAGTGGATTTGCTGACTTAGCATCAGAAGATACCAGCAAATAGTTTTCCTAAGTAGTCATGCCAACCTCTGCTCCTACCATGAGTATGTGACAGCTCCAGTTGTCCCACACCCTTAACACTTAGTAGTGTCAGTTTTTATAATTTTAGCCATTTTGATCAGCTTTTAATGGTCAAAGTGACATTTTAAAAATGTAGATAAGATCATATCTCTTTTCTGCCTTAGACCTTCTAAGAGCTTTAAATTTTACCTAGAATAAAATCCAACCTTCCTTTTATTGCCTCTGGCCCTGTGTATGGTCTAGCTCCAGCCTACTCTGTGACTTCTTTACCCAGGGTTCCTACAGACTGACTCTATTCAGGTCACACTGGTTTCATCTGTGTTATCTTGAAATGTGCCAATGCTCCCCACCTTCAGGGATTTTATGCTAGCTGTCCCTACTAGAAGGAGAACTCTCTCCCCAGATAGCTAGTTGGTGGGCTACTTGTCATCAGTTCAGCTATAGGATCTCTTCCATAGTGAAGCCTTTCCCAGCATGCTATCATTTCATCATATTTCATATCCTTTATGGATATGTAAATACATAAACCATCTCTTAGTGACTCTCCCATATCTATTGTCCCCACACACACCAGCCACGGGACTGCAAGCTCTGAGAGGATCTGTCTTCTCTACAGCTGTTTCCAGCACTCAAGAATGTCTCCCGGTGTGTGGCAGGGGCTTGTGAGTGCTTACCACGTGAGCCCCAGGAGCTAGCTGATCATTGAGCCTGGGGGAGAGGGCTGGCCCGGGACCTCAGGAAACCAAAGGCTGTTGCCCTGCAGCTTCTTCTGTCTCTGGAAGTTCATGTCATCTCAGCAACAACAGCCTGCCATAGCATTGCTACTGTAGCTTTCAAGTCTCCCAGGGAGGATAAATGTGAGAACATAAGAACCTTAAAGGTATAAAGATCTGGGCAGAACCTCCACCCCTCACCCTAGCCTAATCTGGGTTTCTGAGCATTTTCCTGTTACACGAGAACATATTTCTGCCTCATTATCCCTGGGGAACTTTATGTGCAGGTTCGGTTCAGTGGGAAATCATTAGATATTTAACTAGAACACAGAAAAGCCACTGACCGTTATGTAAAATGTACATTCATAGGTGAGACCTTCGCCACAAATCACCGCCCTGCTACTCTTCCATATATACAACACAGCCTTGTGTGAGGAGCAACTAGATTGAAGGTAAAATTCAACAAACCTGAACTCAGCAATGCCTCCCTCGCCCAGAGACTGTTGTTTCACACCTGCTCTCAGGATGAGGCGATGAATCCTAGGAGAAATTCTTTCACTTGAGAAAACAAACACAACAACAAAACAAAACAATTGGAAAGAGTCCATTACCCATGGCTTGTGACTAACGGCATAAAACTTCCAAAAATGTTCCCATTGCAAAAATGTCTGCAATTGGGAAAGACTGTGAGGAGGAGGGGTCAGCGGGAGGATGAGAATAAACCGTACCCTCGCTCATCAAGTTTCTGTTGCTGTCAGACACTCTGCAAGGAGGTTTTTACAAATGACCTCTCCGTAAAGTGGGTCTAATCATCCCTATTTTATAGATAAGGGGCACCTCTGGTGTTTGAATTCCCGGTCAGGAAGAGGGCAACGAGATACATTTGTGCCTCCCTTTGAAGGCAACCAACTACAGGAGGCACTAGAGGTAGGACTCAATGAGCTCTCTGCAAACTGACAAGATGAAAAACTGACAAGCAACCAGGTGGGTAATTCACAGAAGCAATTCATAGAAAGACACATGCATGGCTAATGAACAGAGACAGAGGTGTCCCATCTTCCTAGGAATTAGAGAAATGTAAAATAAAGTCACAAGGTCACAAGATAGCTTCTACATCATTGGGCTAACAAAACTGGCAACAAGGCAAAGTCCTTCTGACATTACCAAATGAAAGGATGAAACTCCTATCCTCTAAAGGATGTTAATGTGGAGAAAATGGGGGATTTTTCTAATACAAAGATGCACCTACTCAAAGACACTGCAATTTTACTCTCTAGAGAACCTCTCAAAAATCCACATAAAAGAACATTATAAAAATATTTACACAGCACCATTTTTTTTTCACCTAGAGGAAGGTAGAGGGAGTTGTTGGGGGGGGAGAGGAGGGGGCGGTGCATGAGCAGGGAGAGGGAGAGAGAGGGAATCTTAAGCAGGTTCCCTGCTCAGTGCAGAGTCTGTCTTCGGGCTTCATCTCACAACCCTGAGATCATGACCTGAGCCAAAATCAAGAGTCTGACACTTAACTGACTGGCGCCCGACCACAACACCCGACGACTACACTATTTTTAAGAGCAAATATGAATTTGAAACAATGTCCAAAGGAGACAGATACATAAATCGCAGTACATTCATACAATGGCAAGTCATACAGTAGTGACCTTGCATGAACCAGAACGACTCAAAATATTTACTTATCATACTCTATATTGCTTAAGGGACACATGCGCGCACGCGCACGCACACATACACACACACACACACACACATCAGAATGGTAAGCACTAAATAGGATAATAGGGAGAGACACCTATACAGGAAACTTGGTCATCATGGTTTCTGAGGCTGGGTCTTGATCACATGACCTAGGACTTATTTTGAATTACTTAGCTGTTAACTATTGCATGATGCCCATTTAAAAGGAAAATTTTAAATGTGAAAATCAGAGAAGAAGAATAAAGTGATTGAATTCAGGAAGTTCCTGCACAAAACAATTTTCTCAGGGCTGGAACAAAGCCAACGTAGAAGCTTCATAATTAAATTGTTTGAATTTCTTCCTCCCCTTTTCTCATTAGCAAACAATGTTATCAGACTTCTCCAAACTTTTAAAGTAATTGAGAGCCTGCAGTGAATATTTGGTTTTCTGGTGTTTTTAATTGTAAAGTTTATAATCCTGCCCACCCCCACCTTGCATCAGCTCTGCCTTCAAAGCCATGTGCTTCCTTCTCCCTGTATCAGGAAACACACTTGGCATAGAAACCATCCCTGGAAGTGTCAGTTTCTGGTCCAGAGCCTCACCTGCAAAAGGGAAATCCCAGAAATGTCCCATAAGAGGTGCTGCCAGGGGACTGGGTGACCCCCTCAAAACTTCATAAGCTTTGGGGCAACTATACTGATTGGACTTGGCATTCATGCCTATACTCAAACTATAAAAAAATAAGATATGATCCACATTTGTTCATAAGGTAGAAACTGAAACAGATAATGAAAATTAAGAAAAATTTGGAAATAACTTCTAATACTACTTGTAACAATAGTTCTATATGGGTATCAATTGACAGTTTCCATAGTAACACCTTTGTTTTGCTTGGGGGGAAGACACAAACCTGGCAAAATGTGCACATGCAGAGGAACCTCATTTAATGCTGATGTTAGGAGAAATAAAGATCTCCTTTCATAGCTTAACAAAGCAATCCTCGGAGTGTGAGCCCAAAGGGTCCCCCCAAGATCTGTGAAATCAAAATGATTTTCATGATAATATTCAGATCTTATTTGTCTTTTTAATTCTCATTCTCTCACCTGAGTATAGTGGACATTTTCAGAGGCTGCCTGGCAGGTTCTATTCTAAGAGATTTGATACAGAAAAAGGTCTGAGAGTCCAGCTGTCTTCTCTCAGGTTGCACATCAAAGAGATTTGCAAACACTAAGTAGGGGTAGGGGATAGTATGTAGAACAATATAACTTTTCTCAATAATTTTGTTTTGGTCTTGATGAAATCCCAATAGTTCATTTTTGCCCTTGCTTCTGTTGCCTTTGGCGATGTTCCTAGGAAGAAGTTGCTGCGGTTGAGATCAAAGAAGTTGCTGCCTGTGTTCTCCTCAAGGATTTTGATGGATTCCTTTCTCACATTGAGGTCCTTCATCCATTTTGAGTCTATTTTCGTGTGTGGTGTAAGGAAATGGTCCAATTTCATTTTTCTGCATGTGGCTGTCCAATTTTCCCAGCACCATTTTTTGAAGAGGCTGTCTTTTTTCCATTGGACATTCTTTCCTGCTTTGTTGAAGATTAGTTGACCATAGAGTTGAGGGTCTATTTCTGCGCTCTCTATTCTGTTCCATTGATCTATGTGTCTGTTTTTGTGCCAGTACCATACTTTCTTGATGATGACAGCTTTGTAATAGAGCTTGAAGTATGGAATTGTGATGCCACCAACTTTGGCTTTCTTTTTCAATATTCCTTTGGCTATTCGAGGTCTTTTCTGGTTCCATATAAGTTTTAGGATTGTTTGTTCTATTTTTCTGAAAAAAAAAAAAAAAAGGATGGGATTTTGATAGGGATTGCATTAAATGTGTAGATTGCTTTAGGTAGAATAGACATTTTCACAATATTTGTTCTTCCAATCCATGAGCATGGAACATTTTTCCATTTCTTTGTGTCTTCCTCAATTTCTTTCATGAGTACTTTATAGTTTTCTGAGTATAGATTCTTTGCCTCTTTGGTTAGGTTTATTCCTTGGAAAGTTTGGATATTTTTCATAAACTGTATGCTATTTACGGTAACATTTATGTTAAGTTTATTGTTGTTATTCCAAATAAGTAAGAACATAAATGTTTTACAAGCTCTTCAATTTACTTTCAAATGTAGTAACTATTGGCAGATGTAACCCACGTAAACAAGCACTTTGGAATCCTTAGTAATGTGTAACAGCATAGAAATGTGCAAACCATCCCCTGGCCTCGGGTTATCCCAGAAAATGCTACTGTTAATGCAGATGCTGTACTCCTCCTGTCCTGTTCCTGTCCTGCTTCTGCCTCTGTTTCTAAAACTACAACCACCACCAGATAGAGGTTGGCTGGGAATCTGCTGAATGGAGCTGGCATTTTATATATATTTTCTAAGTCCCAGAGCCCCTCGGGGATCTTTCTGGGCGTGTTTCCTGATGGCCAGCGCAACAGTCCTGGTTGATATTATCTTATTTGGAAATTTCAGACAGGACCAGACCTCCTGTTCCAGGTGGTTCAGGATCCCGCTGGGATGTCTGCTTTACAGAAGTTGACCACACGAATCAGGTAGATAAAGGCTATTCCTTGGAAGCCACTGGGATGGGTTCCACTTTGGGGACATTCCATATAAGCCAAGCAGAGCGTGGAATTCCTGCTCAAATGGGGTTTAGAAAGGAAAGAACTGCTTTACGGGGACAATTCGGAATAGATTTAAGCAGACAGGCCGGCCCAGGAAAGACTAGTTAGCTGCCAGAAAATCAGGAAACACGTCTTTAAACCCACTTCTTAGTGTGATGCCACCGTTCCTGCCCACGGTGGCAAGGAAGTAGCCTGGTATGGAAACGCCACGCCTGGGTTCAGAGCCTGTTCGCAGGATTCTCCACTCTCCACGGGATCCTGCGCGCTCCAGGCCGGTCGGGCAGGTAGGCACCCGTTGGGAGTGTGCGACTGAGCCAAGCGGGTGGGGCGCCGACCATCGGAAAGGTGTGGAGGGAAAGAGGTGATTGGCAAACAAGTACGCGACAGATCCGGAGGCCAGAGGTCAGGACTCCGGGGCCGCCCCGTACCCGCTGGGCGATCTTGGGGGAGAGGGTTCTGTCTCTGGGCGAAGGTGCGCAGCTCCCGTCTACCAGCCAGTCCCCCGGCGTTCCGGCTTCCTTTCTCTTTTCCTGCCGACCTTTGCCAGGTCGGCCTGAGCTGGCTTCTCCCAGGTGAGTGGGTGGCTGGGATTCCGTTTGGACTGCCGGGCCCGGGAGGACCCCCGAGGCTAGGGACGCGCAGGGGAGGCTACGCGCGACTACGTGCAGGTGGGGATCCAGCGGGGCGGTGGGGGGGAGTGTAGCGTGTCTCCCGCCGCGCGCAGGACGCAGACCCCGCCTCGTTGCCAGATGGCGGAGAAGGCGTACCCCGGAGCTGGGGGTCTCTTTGCTGCAGCCACTACCCTGACTATCTGAACCCGGGGGCTCCTAACCCCTTCCGCGAATCCCTCTCCAGCCGGAATTCTGCAGGTCGGGCGGGGAGGAGGGAGTATTTGGGGGCACGTCGGGTTAATGTGGGGCCAGAGCTGGCGGGCTCCCCACGAAGAAGGGAAGTCCAGAGGCCTGGATTAGGATTTCTTGAGATTCATTGTCGCCGCTCCCGCCATGCCCCATCCCCGCCCACCTTCTCTTCCTCGTAACCCAACAGGGGGATGCTGTCCTTGCTGCTCTGCGGACTGTCCCTCGCTCTCCCACCCTTTGTCCGAGCAGGTAGGTTCCAGGTTCGGCTGTCCTTGGGCCTCAGAGGCCACCCTCTCCTAACCCACCTCCCTGTGGCTCTGAGAGAGTCCCCCTACTCCGCCCCTCAACCCCGTACGGATCCCCCCGGGGGATCTCATGACACCGGAGCCTCGTGGTTACACTTATCCCAGGGGACTAGACAGAATTCCCTTTGAATGATGAAAGGGCAAGTTTCAGTTCCCAGCTTCTGACGCTCAGCCTCCAGTTCACCTTTGAGTTTTGAGGTGACTTTGGAGGGGAGGGGGTGGGGGAATAGGCAAATTTGGAAGTCTGGAGTCAAAATGCTCCAGTGGAAATAACACTATTTTATATGACAAAGGGTCATTTTATGACCCAGGGTTAAAACACAGAAACCATCAACACAACATTTCTTCCAAGAAGAAACACGGTTTCTTCAGTGCAATTCAGTAGCAACGAACTTTAAAAATGAGCAGATTTTTTTTTTTTTTTAAAGCAATCCTTTTTTGGGATGTATACTTACACCTTTTTGTGAAGACGGAGTGAAATACCTGGGTGGCAAAGCAGAAAGAAACGGGACAAGGAAGGCTCAGAATAGGAATGTTCACTCTGAAGGAAGAGGATAAAGGGGATTCAGGGTCTTAGAAGAGAATGGATGGAGAGAAATCATTCCAAATGGGGAGGACGAGTCCGAATGTTTTATGAACACATTTGAAGGACTTCCAATTATGCCTTCAAATCAGCAGAAGATTTACCGAACTCCCACACAGGAGATTCTCCAGTAAAATTTTAAACTGGCTAGAAAATTAAAGAGGCATTTTTAAAAAGGATTTTATGTATTTATTTGACACACAGAGAGAGAGATCACAAGTAAGTAGAGGCAGAGAGAGAGAGGGGGGAAGCAGGCCTCCTGCCTAGCAGGGAGCCTGATGCAGGGCTCTATCCCAGGACCCTGAGATCATGACCCCAGCCGAAGGCAGGCAGACGCTTAACCCTCTGAGCCACCCAGGCGCCCCTTAAAGAGGCATTTGTTAAAACTAATAATCTATAATGCTAGAGTTCTCTTTCATGATTGTTCCCCTTTCTTTCCCTAGATGCATGCAAGGATGTTAGTTTGCAAAATGAGGCACCTTCAGCAGGCCAACCTTTTGCTTTTGACTGTACACACCCACCACTAACATCTGGGAAAGTACATGTAACATGGTATAAATATCCTAGCAAAATCCCAGTATCCAAAAACACACAGTCTAGAATTCACCAGGAGCAAAACTGGATTTTGTTTCTCCCCCTGACACAGGAGGACTCTGGGATCTACCAATGTGTTATAAAGTAAGTTTCTCATTTAAAATAGAGCTCTCTTTCTCTCTGATATATCTCTACATGATATATGTATGTAAAAATATATAATGTTTTATATAAATATATATAAAATATTTAATGTATATATGTGGAAATATAATATAGTATATAACTGTATACATATACAATTCTTTTAGGAAAATTCTTAATAAATGTAGAAAATTCAATGAGAAGAATAGATAATAGTTTTCTAATTGTTACCAGATGGTTTCCAGTGAGGAAACCTCCATCATGAGGCCACAGGCCAGACCAGCTTAAAAACCCGTTTCTCCCAGTATTACTACTACCTTCTTAATTGGAATTTAGGAAGTGTGTATGACTGGTGGCACAGCCAGATAGGAATAAACCTCCTTTGAGCCCTTTTTGTAAGGGCTCTGTGATAGGGACTTAATGGTGATTCGGCATCACCATCAGCTGTGTTGTTGCCCCCATGTTGAGCCCTGTGCTGGGAAGTAATGTAGGGGAGTGGCACAGGTCTGGTGGGAGACAGTTGAGCCTGGTGGGGGCTGCGGTGAGCCAGAAAGCATATTAGTCCCACCAAAGATAGTAGCCTATGTCTATGTCTACCTTCTATGAAAGGTAATCTTTCCCGGTTTATAACTCCCAGATTTAAAAATTTTTAAAAATTTTGATGGTAAAAAAAAAATTTTGAAGGTAAAAATACCTTCATAGAAGGTAGACATAGATGCTCTCTGTAAGTAAGTATTCTACTTAGAATACTTAAATCTGGGAGTTATAAACTAGGAAAGATAACCTTTCATAGAAGGTAGACATAGATGCTCTCTGTCATGAAATAAATGTGAATTCTCAAAAATCTTTAACATACAGAGATGAAACATACTTATTTAACTGCATATTTTTACTTTGAAGTAATTTCAAATTCATACAAAATTTGCAAAAATAGTATAAAGAAGCCCCATTTATCCCCCATTTACATACCCTTTATCTAGATTGCCCATTATTTAACATTTTGCCACATTTACCTTAGAATTCTCTCTCACTCTCTCCCTCCGTATGTGACTGACTCTTGAGCAACATGGATTTGAAGTGCACAGGTCCACTTATACACACATATTTTTTGATAAATACATTACTATAAATGTATTTTCTCTTCCTTGTGGTTTTCTTGACTAGAATACCAGGTAAGTAGTTTGTGTTCTCTGCAGACAATGCACCCCAAGGCTTGTGGTATCCATTTACCCCTCACTGGTGCTGTTCAGCCCGATCCCTTGGCCAAGGTGTGGACCAGCGTTTCTGCAACAGAAACATTTTCTTTTTCTTTTTTTAATTAATGATTTGTGAGCTGCAGCCTGCCTGGGCTGGGGCAGAGCCTTTACTCTGTGTCTTTTCTTTTTTTTTTTTTAAGATTTTATTTATTTATTTGACAGATAGAGATCACAAGTGGGCAGAGAGGCAGGCAGAGAGAGAGAGAGAGGCAGAAGCAGGCTCCCTGTTGAGCAGAAAACCCGATTCGGGGCTCAATCCCAGGACCCCGAGATCATGACCTGAGCCGAAGGCAGAGGCTTTAACCTACTGAGGCACCCAGGTGCCCCTTTACTCAGTGTCTTGATGTTGATTTGGCAAGATGTGAAGATGAACAGCTTCGGATGATCTGGTGGTTATTTGAGTTCATGAGGTTTCCATTTGCCCTTTTCCTACAGCGGCACAGACACCTGTCACAGAATACATGTTAACCTCACCGTGTTAAGAAAAGACTGGTGTGGTATTTCTGGAAATGGCCAGCTGATTTTATCAGATGAATACAAACAAATACTTCACGCAGGAAGGGACGACAGCCTTACCTGTCATCTGAACTTCCCACAGAGTTGTGTTTTAGATTCACTGAAGTGGTATAAGGTAAAAAACCAAATAATTTTCCTATTGATATTTTTCTTCTTCTTTAAAACTTACCTGCTTTTTAGTTGAAGTTGGCTCTTTTCGGGCAGAATTAGTGAAGAGGTTTGTGTACCTGAGACAGATTTGTTTGTCAGTGGTTACTGATAATTTTACCCTCTAATTATTGTTTTTAAAATTAATAGTTATTACAACTTTATAATATTTTGTCACTTGGATTCACCGTCTCCCTACAATAATCGTTTTCAGGCTACTTCCAGTATCCTTTTTTTTTTTTTTCCCCTGAACAGATTAATTAATTTCTTGGAATGCGTACTACATGCCTGTGATTCAATAATCCCAAAGTATAAAAAGTCGCCCCTGGCAAGTGTCCTTCCCACTCCTGAGCTCTATTTGCCCTGGGCCCATCACACCTTTCCTAACCTGTGGCTGCCATTGTTAGGGACTTGCCTTCTCTGCATTATTTCTGTATAATGCTATACAAGCAAATGAAACCAAACCCTTGTCCTTCCATTTTTACGCAAACAGGGAATCCTAAACTCACCTTTCTGCGCCTTCCAGCACTCTCTTTTCTTGGCTGTCTTGTCAGGTGATAATGTCTAAGACGTAATCCTAGACACAGAGGGGGACAGGCTGCTTATTTAAGATGGGATTAGTTTTCCTGTAACTCTCTCTGCCTGTCGGCACTTGCCAGTCCAACCATCTGGGTCATGAGTTTTCTCTGTGGAAAGCTTTTTAGCTGCTGATTCAGATTCTTTAATGGAGATAGCCTTATGCCAGTTTCTTATTTCTTCCTGAAGAAGTTTTGGTAAGATTCCTTTTTTTTGTAGGAAATCACTCATTTCCTTAAATATTTCAGATACTTGTATTGGTACACAACTGCTTGTCATCTTTGCTCTTTTCTTGTCTAAATTCTCTGGTGAGGTTCTTCCTTTTTTTTTTTTTAAGATTTTATTTATTTATTTGACAGACAGAGATCACAAGCAAGCAGAGAGGCAGGCAGAGAGAGGGGGAAGCAGGCTCCCTGCTAAGCAAAGAGCCCGATGTGGGGCTCGATCCCAGGACCCTGAGATCATGACCTAAGCCGAAGGCAGAAGTTTTAACCCACTGAGCCACACAGGCGCCCCGAGGTTCTTCTTTTAATCCCTTTTATGATGTATTTCTCTCTCACTCCTCACTTGACTAGTCTCATAAGAGAGTTGTCCGTTCTATTATTTTTTTTCCCAAACAATCAAGTTTTGGCCTTGTTCATCCTTTCTATTATATGCTTCATGTTCATTTATTTTGTTTCTACTTTTCTGTCTCATGAGGACTGTGACAATGAATGTCCTTATTCCTGTTTGTTTGTTTTTTTTTAAGATTTATTTATTTGAGAGAGAGAGAGAGTGCGTATGTGTGCATGCATGGGGAGAGGGGCAGAAGGAGAGAAAAAGAATCCTCAAACAGCCTCCTTGCTCAGTATGGAGCCCAAATGGGGCTTAACCCCAGGATCCTGAGATCATGACCTGAGCCAAAATGAGTCGGCTGCTGCTTAACTGACTGAGCCGCCCAGGTGCCGCTTATCCCTCTCCTTTAACACATGTTTGCCAGTGTGTGAATTTTTTAGGCTACATGCTGATTAGCTTTATAACTGTTAGGTTGTAGAGTATGTATATGAATAAGGTATTCAGTTTTATTGATGCTGCCAAGTTATTCTAAAAAATTTTATATTAGTTTTTATTCTCCTGTGCAATATTCTGGGCTCCCTAAAACCTTATGTGGGACTTTGTACTATAAGACTTATATTTTTTAAATCTGTCTGGTGGATACAATTGTTACCTAATTGTTGTTTTAGTTTGCTTTTCCTTAATCATTAAGGAGGTGGACCAAATTTTTCATACGTTTATTGACCGTTTGGAATTCTCCTCTGAACTTCTGACTCCTATCTTTTGCCGTGTTAATTTATTTTTTCTTACCATTTCATTACTGACTTACAGGAGATTTTATGTATTTGTATATCCTGGGTACCAATGTTGGGAATGAATGAACAGTTTTCATTGAAGTATAGTATATGTATAGAAAAGGCATGAAGTATAATTGGACAAGCTTGATTGATTATCAGAATGTGAACACACCTTTTGGCTACTCCTTCCAACGATCAAGGTCAAGAACGAAACTACCACCTGGACCTCAGAGGGCTCGCTTCTGCCATCTTCCAAAAACTATGCCTCCCGAATTCCCTGACTTGTAATAGCATAGATTAGTTTTGCCAGCTTATGGACTTTATTGAAATTGAGTCCTATTGTATGAAGCTTTTTGTGTCTGGCTTGCTTGGCTCAGTAGTAAACTTGTGAGAATCATCCTTTGAAGTGAGGATTGGTTCAGTCATTTTTTTAGGACCATGATTTCAGTGGTTCAATGAAACCACACGGCCATTTCACATCCCAGCTGACAACTTGAGAATTGGATGGGGATGTTCTTCATTGTCAAGCCCTGACTCTAGCTTTTGTCCCCTACGTGCATAGGTTTGTCAAAAGCACGGTCTTAGTCTGTCAGCCATCACCTTCAGAATAATTGGTGATAGTTCTGAACACCTACTATTCCGTTAATGAAAAGTTCATCTTTATAGAGGTTAAAGCTACCCCCTGTGCCTTTTCCACTTGCAAGGCTAATACCTGGTCCTTAGGTATTAGCCTTAGTTCAGGAAGTTTCTGCTGACTAGATGGATAGCGTCCAAGTTCTTTCTACCTCCCGTGTTTTTCATTTTGTGTATCAACTATTGGGCTAATGGAAAAATTACACAGTTATTCATTTAATATGTGTCAGCAAGTATAATCAACACTCTGCATACTCTCTCTCATGATGCGCTTATTAACATTGGCTCTCTACAATTTAATTATTTATTCTAAGATTTTATTTATTTATTTGACAAACAGAGATCACAAGTAGACAGAGAGGCAGGCAGAGAGAGGGAGAAGCAGGCTCCCTGCTGAGCAGAGAGCCTGATGCGGGGCTCGATCCTAAGGCCCTGAGATCATTACGAATCCGAAGGCAGAGGCTTAACCCACTGAACCACTCAGGTGCCTCTACAGTTTAATTATTAGCAATAATCCTGTTCCAGGGAGCTCCTGGCTGGCTCAGTCGGTGGAGCTTGTGACTCTTGATCTCAGGGTTGTGAGTTCAAGGCCCACATTGGGCATGAAGCCTATTTGGAAAAAAAAAAAAAAAAAATCCCCTCACAGTATCCCTGTTCTGTTCAAAGGGTATTGGTTGCCAGGCCACAGTCCCCTCCATCTCAGTTGGCTCTGACTGGGACATTACCCATTTTCCAAGTCCTGCTTTAGCCTTCTCAGGATATGGTGAGTCTCAGTTCCTCTCTGTGGCTTCTGTAGACTCTTCCTGAAGCATCCTGTTTTCCACCTTACAGCCCTGCAACCATTCCCTCCTGACACCAGCGTCAGGACCCTCTTGACAGTAGGACTCTTCTGGAATTTTTTTCCTCCTGGCCTGGACCTGTCATGGTCATGGATTTAAAAGCACTTGACATCTGTAGAGAGGTGGATTTTTAGGATCAACTTTGTTGCTACCTCAGCATTAAGATCAATGGATTTTTTTTTAAGCACTTGTTTGGGCTTGTCCTCTACTCATTGAATCAGATTATCCATGGATGGGGTTCAGGTATTTTTATTTTTAAAATAATGCTCAGGGGCCCCTGGGTGACTCAGTCAATTGGGTGTCTGACTTTTGTTCTCGGCTCAGGCCATGGTAGATGGGACAGAATAACTCTTAAGCTACCAGGGCTAGATTTTAATACGATTAAATGTTTATACACCTTGAAAGAAAGAATGAGTTGATCAGAAGGGGACTGGTCAATACTGGAAACATAGAAAGGGAGGCCTGGGGATTGCTCCTATCCAAGCTCTCTCTAGAGAAGACGTTTTCATCGTCTGAGGACCCAGTGCTGTTTGTTTGTCCCTACTCTCAAGAAGGGGGCACCACGTTATTGGAATCTGATGCCTTCACCCATCTGACTCTCACTGGTAATTCCCATTTTACTTGGTAAGCAATTGCCCAGTTATAACTGGGTTTCCCAAATAAAGAATAATGTGAGACTTGTAGAAATTCGTATTGTAAATAAACGAATGCTCATTCCGGCATGATTGAGTTTCCCCTTTGTGAAGAATGGGTTCTGATGCTGAGCTAGCTACAGCTGACTCAGGGACAAGACAGCTGGACACGTGGGCAGTTAAATCTTTACCGGGGTTGTAAGTTGGTCCGCTATAGTAGGATTGTGAGCTTTCTAAGGACAGTGACTACATCCGCCTGACAGCGCTTCTCACAACATAGCAAAGAGCAGGAACCTGAATGCTTGAATGAGTATGTGGACTCAGTAATCCGAGAACTTACTCTATAGAGTGGCACTTTCCGAAGAAAGGGGAAACGTTTTGAGAGAGTTTAGGAGGGGGTCTGTGAGATGGGAGAAGCATGAGAATGTGAGCTTGTGACAGTGTCCTGCCATGGATGGGGAGGCCTGCCCTGGGGGTGGTTGCCGAGGATGACAAGTGAGAAGGGCACTCCTGAGACTAACCAGGCCTCGGGCTGGTTTGGTGTGAGGTTGTTCTAGTTGATGTCATGGCAGCATCGGTGATGTAATGAGTTAGGTGACGTCTGCCCATAAGCCTAGTCAGCATACTTTGACTGTTGTTCAGGCCTCCAAGCAGAATGTTCTCGAAGAATTATTTTGGACCTCTGTAAAGTCCAACCTGATAGGTGGAGAAGGTGTATTTGAGCCTGGAACACAGTGGAAGAGCTCATTAATCACCTGGGCTTGCAGTCTTGGTATAGGGGCTTGGTGTCATGAGATGGTGGTTTACCGGAAGCTATGGGCCCCTGTGGGTGGAGGGCATTCCTGCCTATTCACACCCTCCTTCTACGCTCCTCTGTGGGCCCACACAGTCCTCCTCCATGTGGTCTGCCTTCTAGTTCCAGTAGCCCTCTTTCCTCTCAACTTCCATTAGACTTAATATTGACAGCGTGCACGATAGCCTCTAACATACTCGTCATATCTGTAGATATCTATCTATCGATCTACCCATTGATACCTATAGATAGAGATAGCATTTTCAGTTAGAGTATAAATTACCCGAGGTCTAGAGATTACATGTTTCTTGCCTCTCCCCATGTTCATAGGGTGCTGTTAACCAGAAATGTAACTGATCACCAAAATACTCTTTGATTTAATATGTATATATATATATATATATATATATATATATATATGTATATTTTTGTATTTAGGACTGTGAAGAGATTAAAGGAGAACGGTTTATTTCCTGGGAAATGAAACTTTCAGTGAGCAATGTTTCGGCAGAGGACGGAGGGAGCTATGCATGTCAAGCCCGACTGACACACATAGGGAAACAGTACACTGTTTTAAACAGCATCACGGTGAATATTGGTAAGTAAGCTTGTAGCCATTGCCTTGGCTTCCTCTTGGCTTTGCATGAGATGGCTGGCTTTTTGGGCAGCAGTGATTCTTTTTTTTTTTTTTTTTTAAGATTTTATTTATTTATTTGACAGAGATCACAAGTAGGTAGAGAGGCAGGCAGAGAGAGAGGAAGGGAAGCAGGCTCCCCGCCGAGCAGAGAGCCCGATGCGGGGCTCGATCCTGGGACCCTGGGATCATGACCTGAGCCAAAGGCAGAGACTTTCACCCACTGAGCCACCCGGGCAACCCATGGGCAGCAGTGATTCTTGATCTCAGTTTTCTTGAAGGTTCACAAGCTCTCAGACTTGCCATTGTTAGAATCTGAGGGTAGAAAGGAGAGGGCAAAGGGCATGAGCAGTTTTGTTTTCCTCATCTGGAAAAACAGAATACCCAACACTCTTTTTTTTTTTTAATATTTTATTTATTTGAGAGAGAGAGAGAATGAGAGAGAGCATGAGAAGGGAGAAGGTCAGAAGGACAAGCAGACTCCCCATGGAGCTGGGAGCCCGATGCAGGATCATGACCTGAGCCGAAGGCAGTTGCTTAACCAACTGAGCCACCGGGCACCCGAATACCCAATACTCTTGGCATGAAAATTACATGAGAGCATGCATGTAAAGTGGGTACTGGGTGCCAGGTGAAGTACGGGTGCTCGGGTAGCGGTAGATATTACTGTTACTCTTATTTTCCTCAGCCATCACTGATGTGACTACCTTGCTGGTCCATTCCAACGTTGGCCTCCCCCGCCCACAGCAAGCAGAGTTCAAGGTCTCTGGGCTGGGCTAGAAGGAACCCTAAAGATTATTTAGTTTAAGCCATTAATTTTATAGAGGCCCAAGAGGGGGTGACTTAGGAAGCTTACAAACCTGGTTAATGACAGAAACAGGACCAAGACAAAGGCTTGTGGTGCCCAGATGAGCATCGTTTCTTCTCTGCATGTTCAGAAGGAGATCTTGCTACGGTGTCTTTTGCTCCTTTCTCAGTAGACAGTTGTCTTCTATGTTGATTCATCTAAATGGAAAGAACTGAAGACTGAATAGTTCTTTTTTCTTTTTGAAAGATTTTTTTTTATTTGAGAGAGAGAGAGAGAGAGTGAGAGACAGTGTACAATCAGGGAGAAGAAGGAGAAGCAGGCTCCCCACTGAGCAGGGAGCTCAATGCAGGATCCTGGGATCCTGAACTGAGCCAGAGGCAGACACTTAACCGACTGAACCCCGCAGGTGGTGCTCCTGAATATTTCTTTGACTTGAACCATCATGTCTGTCACTAATTTCTGTCAGACTTCATCGTACTGGGTGGTACCTAGCAATTTCTTGATGGTGTGGCTCTCTCGGACCATGTGTTCAGCATCGGTGGCTTCCTGTTTCTCCCCCACCAGAAACCTTTACTTAAGAAAATTAACTATTACATTTTGTGATTTTTATGTTCTTGGGTTTTATGTTACCTGTTATCTCTCCAGATGTAAGCAAAAAAGATCTTTGTCTTGTTCACAGTTGAATCTCCTGCATCTAGCCCAGTGCCTGGACTAAATGAGGCATAGACCCATTTATTAACTGAGTGGTTGCTGACGATCATGCTTAGTTTTCCATTGATAACTGAAGGAATTCCTTGAAAGGAAAATGGAGACTACCTCAAGAGGTCATTGAGTGCAATAGTCTATATTTTGTATCCTTGCAATAAACACTTATTTATGATCTAGTGTATGCCCCAATTGTTGGAACCTGATAATTAAAAACTTTAAAAAAGAACAACTATCATTTCTTCTATTGAGAAGCTCTCAGCCTGGTGGTAGTAGAGCTGGAGGTGTAAATGAATCATTTTCACATTGTGCAGTAAGGATAGAGTTATAGATGGTGTCTGGGAAGGAAAAGAATCAGAAGTAGCCAGAGGGGAGGCAGGCAAATGGTCTTGGAAGGCTTCCAAGAGGAAATGGCTTTTCAGCTGAATTTTGAAGGATGAGTCAAATTTATAAAGGTAAAGAGTCAGGCAGAGCAGAGAGAATAGTCTAAGACAAAGCTTGGAAGGGTCTACCTGCGTAGTTTGTATTGGGTCTAAAGTTAACTTTGATAGAGCCTATGTAAGCGTGAGGTAAGGAGTGATGGGAACTGATACTCAGTCTTCACAAGGGTGCCGATGATCTGAACTCGAGTGGAAGTGGTAGGGGATTCTTCTTTGGGGAGTAATTTATTTATTTTTTAAAAAGATTTTATTCATTCATTTGGCAGAGAGAGAGAGATCACAAGTAGGCAGAAAGGCAGGCAGAGAGAGAAGGGGAAGCAGTCTCCCTGCTGAGCAGAGAGCCCTATGTGGGGCTCGATCCCAGGACCCTGGGATCATGACCTGAGCTGGAGGCAGAGGCTTTAACCCACTGAGCCAGACAGGCATCACCTTTGGGCAGTAATTTAGTGGCTCTCTACTAAGTGCCTAATAAGGCCAGGTCCTGTGGTTTGTGGAGAGAGCATGAAAAGGAGGAAGCACCCATGACCACCGCTCTGACTGAGCTTTGAAGTCTGAGCAGGGAAGGGAGGCAGAGATAAGTCAGATAGTCTGCTAGTGAGATGTATAATTACCAAAGAGATGAATGCCATGAGCGAGTGGAAAGTATGAGATCGAACAGACAAAGACCTGTTGAGAAGGCTGAGGGTCAGGGAAAGCTTCTTGATAATAGTCATGCTGACAGGACACATTAACTGAGTGATGGAGTGGGCAAGATTTTTCCCAACTGAGGGAGCCCTGTAACAAAACAGACCATGGTATTTGTGAATAATGGGAAGTAGGCAGGCGAAGGGGAGCAATGTTGAATGGGGGAGGTCATGCAAGGTAATGAGGGTAGAGAAGTAATCAGCAAATGGGGAAGGGAATAAGTGGAGAGAAACAAAGGGCTGGGAAGTCAGTATGAGGGAAGACAAGTCTCACAGCGGGGTGAAGGAATGGGAGAACCAAAGAACAAAAGAGGACCAGATTTAAAGAATACGGAAAAGCAGGGATGGAGGTTGGAGCAGTGGAACCAAACATAAAACATTAGGATCATTCTCTCTCCCTAACTGGGACCTAGACCAGAGCTTGGCTTAGAGCCAGTGCTTTTAAACTGTAATTGGATTATTAGGTAATAAGATTTTATTACACAATCTCATCAGTTTACATTTATATCAAATATAGAATGGTGAAGCGAAATCTCCTGGTAGCCCAGGTCTTAGGGTTTTTGCTCAGCAATTCAATTTCTGGTTTAAAAATATGCATTTAAGAGGCAGTAGCTTATCATGCCAGGAGTTTTGTTCTTTCCTTGGCTCATGTTTAGGTAAGACCTGCTCAGTGCCATGTTTTCTTTACACTATAACTGGATAAATAGTTGGAAATGTATCATACATGATTCTAATGCAATTTCATGTGCGTATGATTTTTTAGCAGAAACAAATGGATATGCAGGAAGAATTCCTAAAATCATTTATCCAAAAAACAATTCAATTGAAGTACAACTGGGTGAGTAAAATTATTGAAGCCATTGAAATCACTAAGGGCAGATTAATATACATGTTTAATATAAAACCAGTTAAATTTCATTGAATGTTCTGAAACTTGATGAAGCATTTTAAAAATTCATGTCAAAAAATGTTGGAAAATTTTAGCAGGAAAATAATTGAATAGAAGAATAAAGAGAGATCTTTTCTAGTAAATAGTAAAGTATGTTTAATTATAAAGCAACAATATGTAAATACTGGTATTTGTATACGAATAGAAAGATTAAAGCAACATAATGGAAAACAATAAACATATCCTAGAAAATACAACAATTTAGTAAAGGAGATTTGTGGCATTTAAAAATATGTAGGGAAGGAGAGACATAGTGTGTGTGTGTGGTATGAGTGTAACTTTTTAAATGTGAAGAATATGTAATTCATTCTTTACCTCAGACATAAAAATACATTTTTGATGAATTAAAAAACTACATATAAAAATAAACCCACAGAAGTACCATTTAAAACTGAGATAAATTTATACCTAACCTCAAAATGATGTACTTTCTATGCATAAAATCAGTGGAAGAAATCACAGAAGATTAAAAATTATACTCACATAGAAGCTGCAAATGTCTATATACAGGAAAAATGGTAAAGTTAAAATGTGAATGACAAACTAAGAGAGAATGTTTGGGACAGAGATCTCAAAAAACAGGTAATATCATTTCTGTACAAAAATATCAACAAATCAAGGACTAAGAATAATCCAAATGAGGCAAATGAATAATTCACAGAAGGAAAAAAAAAGACTAACAGAGTATGAAAATATATTCATCTGAAATAAAAGAAATGTACATGAAAACAATGATATGTATCTAAGAAATTGGTAAGTATTAAAACATGTAAATACCAAATATTAGCAAGTATAACATAAAGGGTGTTCTAATACATTAGTGGCCACAAATACAAGCGATCCCTTTAAAACATTTGTGTTTAAAGCTCCTCAACCGTTTTCCATCTCACTCAGAATAAAATTTTATTTTGAATTCAAAAGTTCCTGCATTCCCAACATGGCCCTCCACAGCTGACTTCCCCTTGCCAGTCCTCACACTGGTAAGCTCACACTTGATCTCCTTGATATACCTGTGGTTCCTTGAACATCTCAGGCACATCTCCACCTCAGGGACTTTGCATATGCCTTTCCCTCTGCTTGAAATGCTCTTCCCCACACAGCTCTATGGTCCCTTCCTTCACTTCCATCGGGTCTCCAATGAATGTCATGTCACTTGACCACCACATTAAAACAGCACCATTCTGGGGTGTTTGGGTGGCTCAGATGGTTAAGTGCCTGACTTCTGTTCAGGTTATGATCTTGGGGTCCTAGGATTGGGCCCCACATTAAGCTGAGTGGGGAACCTACTTCTCCCTCTGTCCCTCACTCTTTTCATGCTCTCTTTCTTGCTCTTTCTCAGAGAAATAGATAACATCTTAAAAAACAAAAACAAAGCACACCTCACTCACCATCATGCTCTATCCCCTGAGCTCTGTTTTCAGTAAAGTACTTATCACTACCCCACATATTTTGTCTTGGTATCTCTAATTCTATTTGAATGCTCCTTAGGAGCTGTCATTTTGTCTGTTTTTTTCCTTCCTATATCACCAGTGCTCAGAAAAGTTTGTAGAACAAAGCAGATGCTCAAGAAATAATTGCTAAGTAGCTAAATAAATGAATGGACTGGCATCAACTTTGTAGAAGGAAATGCCAATATGTGCTCAGAACCTTCACAAATAACTTTTGACTCAGTATGTTCTAGATGGTAAACCACATACAACAGAAACAGATCCCCAGGGCCCCAGATAGAGACAGATAGATAGACAGAGAGATAGATATTGTGCTTACCATGTTTAAGGAAGGAAAAGACATGATTGCAACTTTAAAAAGACAACTGCAGACTTTTAAAAAATGACCATATCAAATTTGAAAAAGAACAAATCAAATATCAGAATTGATAAATATAATAACTAAAACCAAAAACTCAATAAAGGGTTTAAGATTTTGTTTATTTATTTGTCAGAGAGAGAGAGAGAGAGAGAGAGCGAGTGCACAGAGTGGCAGAGGGAGAAGCAGGCTCCCTGCTGAGCAAGGAGCCCGATGTGGGACTTGATCCCAGGATGCTGGGATCATGACCTGAGCTGAAGACAGCCACTTAACCAACTGAGCCACCCAGGTGTCCCTCAATAAAAGATTTAGAAGGTTATGAGACGCCTGAAAAAAGTTACTGAACGAAAATATAGGTCAGGAAAAAAATGCCTAGGATTAAGCACAAAGAGACAGAAGACTAAGAAATACAGACCTAACATGTATGTAATTGCAATCCCAGAAGAAAGAGAAAAGAGAAAATGGGAGCAGAGACAGTATTATTTAGGTGATAACCTGAGAATATTCCAAACTGATAGACACATTAATTCAAAGATGCTGTAAGCTAAGGAGACTCAGCAGGACAAATAAAGGCAAACCTACACCTTGAAATACCAAAGTGAAACTGCAGAAAACCCAAAACAGAGGAAAAATATCTTAAAAGTTAGGAGAAGAGGAAAAAAAAACCCCATCCTCTATGCACAACAGTAAGCCCACTGTTTGAATTTTTGATGGAAAGAGTGGAGGTTGTCTGCTGAAAAAAAAAAAGCGCTGCTAATTTTATAGTCAGTGAAAAATATGACAAACTAAAAAACGACAAAATTTGTTGAGCACAGTCTTACACCAAAGGAGCTACTACAGTATTCTTTAAGCAGGAGGAAATGTTTCTAGATTGTGAATCAGCTATGGAGGAGGGAAGGAAGGAGCAAATGTTGGCAAAAATAAGTGAGTAAATCCAAATGAATCGTGACTCTATGAGGCAATAATGATGATGACTGTTCATGGAATTTAAAATATATATGGAATTAGAATTCACAACTGCATTTGCCTGTCTGTTGGGAGAAGGCTAAAAGCAATTGCATCCTAAGACTTTACATTCTCTTAGAAGAGGATAGAAATAATCAATAATATCAGACTTTGATAAGTTCGAGGATCTCTGTTTTAATATTTAGGGTAACCCTAAAATAATAATAATTTCAAAGATAGAGCATTATATGGAATAATTAAAAAATAATCAAGAGGAAGGTAAGAGGAAATCCAGAAGAAGGAGTCAAAAGACAGCAAGAGGGAAAAGACAGATACAGGACAGATGCTACAAAAAAAAATATATATATATATATATATATATGATATATGATATATATGATATGATATATATGGATAGTTGATTTAAATGTACATCTGTCACCGATTTCAGGATGGACTAAACGCTCCAAATAAAGATTGTCATACTGGATTTGAAAGAACAAATCAAAACTCTGGGCTGTTTACAAGATGCTGGAAGAGAAAAGAGTAGAAAATGATATATGGTATAAACACTAACCAAGATAATGTTGGTATAATTATATTAATATTAAAGTAGATCTGAAGGTAGAATCCATTATTAGAGGTGAACAGAGATCCTTCATAATGACTAAAAGTTCAATAGTGAACCTGTAGATACATAATAACATGGCCTTAAAAGTGTGTGTTTGTGCATGTGTGTGTATACATGCAGAAAGACACAGCCAGTTCAGGATTGAGTCCACACTAATAATGGAATAATAATAATGACACTTTGCAAGGTAGCTGGTAGAACAAAGCAAGCAGAACACCCTATCGCGACAAACAAAACGTGCCCAACACATGGCCTAATATTCATATCATAGAACCCCGAGCCCAGCTGCTACAGATTACACATTCTTTCTAAGCAAAATGAAATGTTTAATAAAGGGAGGCCTGGGTGGCTCAGTTGGTTAAGCTCCTGCCTTCAGTTAGGTCATGATCCCAGGGTTCTGGGATCGAGCCTCACCTGGGGTTCCCTGTTCTGTTCCTTCCTCTCCCTCTGCCAATGCCCCCAGCATATGCTTGCTGTCTCTCAAATAAATTAATAAAATCTTTAAAAAGAAAAAAGAAATGTTTAATAAAATCAACTGTATATTGGACTGCAAAGCTAGACTTTATAGAAAACAATAGAATAAAAAAACTCTCTAGATATCTTATGGATAAAAGTAGAAATCAGAAAATATTTTGACAATGAATACTCATGAAAAGTTATACCAAGGCTGGTGGGATACAAAAATTTGATCAGAGCACGCTTGATAGCCTGAATTAGGAAAGGAAGCTAGTTGAAATATCCATGAGATGCAAGCTCACCCCTGAAGACAGAAAAGGAGAAGCAAAATGAATCCAACAAAATGGGAGAAACGAGGTGAGCGGTAATCACAGACAATAGTGAAATAGTAAATGAACATGCAATTGAGTGATTAACAGGAAAGAACTTAGTTTTCTGAAAAGTGGAACATGATTGCTAAGCCCCTGAATGATTAAGAAAAGAGAGAAAGCACAATCTGAAGGAAAAAGAGACCATCACCATAGATCATACACATGAGAAAGGTCATAAAAGAACACTCTGGAAAACCTAGTGCCAAACAATTTGAAAATCTAAAAAGAAATGGGCAGTTTCCATAAAAACCAGCACATAGGATCTGGCACAAGAAGATACAGATTTCAAAATTGGCATATGACTAGAAATAAAAAATCTTGTCATGAACAAAATTCTAGATCCACCTGGCTTTACTGGTGAACTCTACGAAACATTTAATAAAGAAATCCAACAGATTTAAATAGTTTCACAGAGTAGAAAAAGAAGAAACAGTTGTTAACTCATTTTATTAGGTCAGGAAAATCTTGACACTTGGATCCAACAAAGACGTCGTTATAAAGGAAATTTCAGGCCAATCTCATTCATCAACACAGATGAAAAAATTTAAGCACATTCTTCTTTTTTTTTTTTTAATTTTCAGTGTAACAGAATTCATTGTTTATGCACCACACCCAGTACTCCATGCAATATGTGCCTCCATAATACCCACCACCTGGCTCCCCCATTCTTAGCAAATTTATTTTAGCAGCATACCCAAAGAGTGATACATTACGGTTCAGTTGGTTTATGTGAAACAATGCTAACTTGCCTCATATTATGTAAGTCATCCTTTTTTATTTTACATAACAAACCAAAAGAGAAAAAATAATACACTTATAGATACTGAAAAGTCATTTAGAACGCCTGAACTAGGAATTTATTATTTAAAAAGAAAACACTCTTTTAAAACTAGGAATGAGAGACTATGGACTCTGAAAAACAATCTGAGGGTTTTGAAGGGGCGGGGGGCGGGAGGTTGGGGGAACCAGGTGGTGGGTATTAGAGAGGGCACGGATTGCATGGAGCACTGGGTGTGGTGCAAAAACAATGAATACTGTTACACTGAAAAGGAAAAAAAAAAAGAAAACAAACAACAACCTAGAATGTAAGGGAATGCCCTTAATCTAATTTTTAAAAATCTATCTTTAGAAGCCTATAGAAGAAACAACACGCTCAAGACTGAACTATTAAACACATTTCCTTTGTTTTGAGGGTAAGCCAAACAGATTTTAGTTTTTGCTGAATTTGGTAAGTTGATTATAATGTTGGTATGGAAAAGTAAAGGCTGAATAATAGTCAAGACACTTTTAATGAAAAAGAACTAGCTGAGGGATTTGTACCACCCGATTTCAAGATTTAATAAAAAGCTACCGTGGCTTAGAGAGTGTAGTTCTGATACAAGGTAGACGGTGGGTTAGAATTGAAGGCCCAGAAATCTGCCATATTATGCCCTTGATTTTGGTGAGGCTGACACTGTACTAGGAGAGATGTGATCTCTTCAACAAGTGGGACTTGACAATGGGACAGAATATGGAATAAAATAAAAACTTGACCCCTTTCTCACACTGTTTATAAAAATAATTTCAAGTGAGTTGTAGATCTAAGTATGGAAGTCAGAATGATGCATTTCTAGGAAAAAATCCTTCATGATTTGGGGTAAGGAAAGATTAAAAAAAATAAAGACATATTAGTCAATGATTAGTCTTTTTTTTTTTTTTTTAAGATTTTATTTATTTGACAGAGAGAGATCTCAGGTAGGCAGAGAAGCAGACAGAGAGAGAGGAGGAAGCAGGCTCCCTACCGAACAGAGAGCCAGATGCGGGGCTCGATCTCTGGACCCTCAGATCATGACCTGAGCTGAAGTCAGAGGCTTTAACCCACTGAGCCACCCAGGTGCCCCTCAATGACTAGTCTTGAGGTAGAATTTGACAAGTACGACTACAGCAAACATAGGAACTTCCATTTATTGAAAGACAAGTCCACCTACCAGAAGGCGAAGCAGACCGCTGTGACGGTTTACAACAGAGGGCACCAACATAGCCAACAAAGGTCTAAAAACGTGGTGGAGCAGGTGCCATCTAGGGCAGTGAAAATTCAATCCAAGGTGTGAGATCAGACAGCACCGAGCTGGCGAAAATAAATAGACTGACAACAGCACATACTGCTGAGCCTGCCCTCTTACATGTGCTCGTCTACACTGCTGGTGGGAACGTAAATCGGTACAGCCATGCTGGGAAACGATGTGGCATCTCTTTTAAAGTCGAAGATACGCATCACCTACGATCTACCGATTTTACCGGTAGATGGGCATGTGTACTGTCACAGACATGGGCGTGTATACAGGACAGGTGTGTACTGGCGCCCCAGGAGGTGTGCAGCGGGGAGCAGTCTTCACACGGAGGCAAACACTACAGCGATGCAGGTGTGTGGCGGAGCAGCAGTACAAGAAATAGAGATGCACTAGTGTATTCTCTTCACTGAGTAGAGTAGAGCTACGTGCAACAGCACAGATGAGCATCACAAACAAAACATGGGGCAACAGAAGCTACAGTTCAAGTGTGAATGCGGAAGTGTTAGAGTATAAAGCAGGCAAGGGGCGGGCATGGGGAAGGCTTCTGGATTTCCGGCCAATCTACTGTTTCCTGATGGGGTCAAAGAGGTATGGATGAGTGCTTTGCATTTATGTCCTATACATTTTACTCTACATGGGTTGTAGTTCCTGATTTAAAAAAACAAAAAAACCTTAATTCCACCTAGAATAAAGAAACATAGATTGTGTAGAAATAATTTTTTGTGTAGAGTAAATAGATGGAAGGTATTAGGCTCAAGGAGCAAAATAAAATAAAAATAGAAAACCAGTAAATATAAAAAATAAAAATATAAAACTATTAAATATAGGAGTGCCTGGGTGTCTCAGTGGGTTAAAGCCTCTGCCTTCAGCTCAGGTCATGATCTCGGGGTCCTGGGATCGAGCCCCACATCGGGCTCTCTGCTCAGCGGGTAGCCTGCTTCCTCTCCTCTCTCTGCCTGCCTCTCTGCCTACTTGTGATCTCTGTCTGTCAAATAAATAAATAAAATCTTTAAAAAAACCTATTAAATATAATTTGTGACTGTGTGTGATGGGGTCAAAGAGGGGTCACGATTGGTGAAGTTTCTTTCTCTCACATGTGACCTTGGGCAAGTCACCAGTCGATCTGAACTTCAGTGTTCTTATCTGTAGAGCCTCCTCTTTCCTGATGGTAGGAATGTTTTAAAGGTGAGAAGACTGAAGGAGACGATGTGTGTGAAATACTTTGTAAAGTTCTTTGCTAAGTTTCCTAAGACTGGTAGTAGTGTCTGTGTCCCAAGCTGGTGATACTTGGCCGCACATGGGTATCTCTTTACAAAATAGACATTCTGGAAGTTTCCTTGTCCCTGTGATCTCTGTCCAGGGAGAGAATAAAGTAGAGGAACATTGATCTCCGGGGTGAATTTTTGGTAACCAAATGATATTCAGGATGTTGTTTAGGTGACCACTTTTTGGTAGGCTTTTCACGTAACATTTATGAATTTTTTATAGGCTCCCCTCTTATTGTGGACTGCAATATCACAGACACTAGGGATAATACAAATCTCCGGTGCTGGAGAGTCAACAACATGTTGGTGGATGATTATTATAATGAATCCAGACGCATCAGAGAAGGATTTGAGTAAGTGTTGTGTTTTTCTGGCTTCCCTAAAAGCTGACAAGAATTTCCTCACTTAAGTTATTTTGTTGCTAGTACTACTTTTGTAGATGCTTCTCAATGGCTCCTCAACCCTCTTTGGCTTTGCCTCTCAAAGATCTCCTCAGCGCTGCGCAGGGCCGAGCTTCTGGTTCAGAGAAGCGTGAGGCCCATGTTATCAAACTTCTCACGTCCTAGTTAGACACATGAGGCAAAACATCAAGTATGGGCTTCACGGAACAAAATCTCTTTCTCTCAGCTAGTCCTTAAAACCAGCCTCATTCCTATTTCGTTATATCATGACCCATAGATCCTCAAGGCTTCAGTAGCCAAGTGGGCAGCAGCACAGGGACTCTTGGGGGAAACAGGACTTAATCATGAACTAATTGCATGGTAGAAACCCAATTTGTGGTGGTCTAATTGGGGTGGCGTCAAGCAAGACTCACTAGTCCGAGGGATGGAAGAACTGGTGTTGGGTCCATGTAGAGTAGGTAAATTAGCCTAAGTGGAGATGACCAGGGGAAGTCTCTGGAGGGCTGAGGATGCTGTCTGTCCCTGTCCAGAAGAAAATGCAAGTCTGGAATGGCCACCATGCATGCACCTCACCTAGCTAGTCCATGAAGCATTCTCAGGGTAACGTGATGGCCCAAAGTGTTCTCTGGAGAGAGAATTTTATTCTCTAGACTGAAGATGATACTCTGTGCTGGGGAACTAGGACTCATGTATAAATGATTGGCTCCTTTCTTTTATAGATCACACATTTTTTTCCAGAAAGATATTTTTTACACAGTGAACATAACCTTCTTGGAAGTGAAAATGGAAGATTATGGCCATCCTTTTGTCTGTCACGCTGGAGTGTCCGCAGCATATTTTATTTTAAAACTCCCAGGTAATGGTTTTGAGGGATACACACTGTTCAGAGGGTTCAAAATGATGACAAGGAGACAAGTGTCTCCTTGTAGCAAAGCGATATTCAGTAGGGAAACTCAGCATTAATTTCTTGTTTGGCATTTGATGGTTTTAATCTCATTTCCAGAGCAGAGGGGAGGTCAGTGCTCCTGAAGGCAATGAGTGACCAACTCAAGAATATCGGGCCGTCACTCCTGACTATTACCAGGGACTTTATGACTCTCATAAATATTGCACGGCACGGTCTTCTTACTGTGACCATTGCAGTACCAAGATCCCTGAAGTCTATACGTTATAGGTTCCCAGACCTGGGTCCTCCCAAAGGAGAAGGTGGCATTGTTGTTCCAAGAGCTGGGGAAGGACAGAGAGAAGTGGAAGGATGGGAGGGAAGTGTGGATCCATCTAAGAGTTAGAAGCTAGAGGCTCAAACATGTGGTCAGGATCAGATCAGGGACCTGCGTGCAGAGAAGTTCCACTTGGCTGTGCTGGGACTTAATCAATGGATTGCTATTTCGATTGACCCAGAATGCATTTTAGTTATTGTGCTTTATCGTGACATTTATTTAAAGACATATAGTAGTGCATGGGGTGTCTTTGATCTCAAACTGTTTGCAACATGGTGTTACCTAGGGCAGGTCATGATAAGCTCTTTAGGGAGTATTTTTAAAAAAATGATTGTGCTCTTTGAACATGTTTGAACAGAAGAAAAGAGAATTTTCCCCTCTCCCCCCCCCCCCCCATACACACATACATGCATACACACCTTCTTGTGGAGACTAGAACACCAGGAAGGGACTGAAAAAGGAAGTGGTGTATGCGGTGGGTTCTAAGAATGGAGAGACTTTCTCTTCCTCTGTCCTTCTGTCCTTCTTCCTCTTTCCAAATTCTCTCCTTCCCAGAGCCTCCTTCTGTGCCATCACTGGTCTTGGGCGGTGGCAAAGGAGAAAGCTGTGCTGTTCCTCTTCTGGGATGTGTAGGTGCCTGAGCCTGTTTTCAGGGACTTGACATTCCAGGAGAACCGGTTCTCCTTCTTGATCATCTCCCACCCACTGCTTTTGCCATAATCGCTCTGCCCCGTGTTTGCAAAGCAGAGCAGGGGTAGACACCCTTTCTGCCCTTTCCCAGACTGTGCCTTGCAGACAGGCCCCCGGTGCAGACCTTGTTGGCTCAGGGAGGATAAGGGGGGAGTTTGGCTCTCGGCCAATCTCAGGGAGACAACAAGGATTTTCAGGGGAGACAGCTGATGGCTCTTTATGTATGACAGGTATCGTGCTGTCAGTTTTGAGTGCCTGTGAAAGCAGTTATGACAGTGGAACAATCAGGAATGTGCCACAGAACCACCGGGGAAGGTCTTCCAATAAGCATGTTCAAGACTGTACATCGGGAGAGTCTAGTAGTGTTGGCTAAGCGAGACCTGGCAGTGTGTGTGTTTTGAGAGCAGTCCTCATGCCCTCAAGCCCAGCTGTGGCCACCATGAGGAGCCAGGCTTCTGCAGAATTTCCCTCCCCAGGTTCCCAAGGGCATGTTTCCTTCCTGAAATTCACGGGCTACACCAGATTATTCTACTCCCATGTACCTATTATATTTAACTGTAAGAAAATACTTAAGCAGAATCCTCATTGACCTCTAGTACCTGTCCATTTGGCATTTGTATTATCATTATTATTGGATTATTTACATCTTTATTTGCTGTCATCTGTAGTTCCAAATGTTCAAGCTTACTTGATAGGAGGACTTCTCGCCTTGGTAGGCGCAACAGCGTCTGTCATGTACCTCTACAACATTTTTAAGATCGACATTGTACTCTGGTATCGAAGTGCTTTCCATTCTCCCGGGAGCAAAGAAGGTAAGTGCGGGCAACCACAGCAGATTGCCTCCTCCTTGGCTTCCGCTCATCTGTATAACCATTGTAAATACACTTTATTCTATTTTACTAGCTTGCCTTTCATGTTGTTGGCAAATTGGGAGGAAGGGCTCTCCCTGGAATGTCTCATGCTTCACTTGATCTTAGCCAAAAGGCCGAGAAGCGATTAGAATGTCTCATGCTTCAGGGAAGCCATTGGTTCATGGCCACAGGCATTGTTCAGTGGAATGAGGCTTGCAGCCTGGTCGTGGCTGAGCAAATCTTTGCTCAGGAGGAGCACATCAGCTTCTGGGCCCCACTGTGACCATTTTGGAGAGTTCTCACACCTACTGCTATTTTCCAAAGAGGACAGCTTCTCCTAGAGCGACAGAGGGCTTCCCACCCGCACTGCATCTTCAACGCAAGGGGGTGGGGCGTGAGCAAAGTTGACATTATGGAGGGAGATGAGCTGCCTGTGGCAGGAGCTCTTTCTAGAAAGATTTAAGTGGCTGACTCGCAAGGCTGGGGAGAGACCTGGGTTTGCATCTGGTTCTCCGCTTAGTCCCCTGTGATCTTAGGAAGTGTTGAATGTTCTTCTCTTTCTTGGCTATAGAATGAGAGAAAAAAAGAAGCAAGGAGGGAAGGAGAGAAGGGAGGAAGGAGGGGAGGAAGGAAGGAAGGAAAGGGAGGAAGTGGGGAGGGAGAGAAAATGTTCAGAGCCTGCCTCACAGAGTATTATAGGAATAACTGAGTTAATGTCCAGGAAGGCACTGAGCAAGGACCTGGGGCCCAGGGACACCCTGGAGTCCGAAGGCCAAAGCTACCTGCCTTGGCCACTCCGCCCCAGGTTTCAGTCTGGTCTGTGGAGCTCCCGTCCTGCCAATACATCTCAACACACAAATGCCTCAGTGTGATCCTGAAACTCTGAGGAACAGGCACTTCCCACCATTGTGGTGTTTTTTTCCTTTCTATTTGCATTTTATAAGTAGGCTCCAAGCTCAGCCTGGAGCCCAGTTTGGGACTTGAACTCATGACTCTGAGATCAAGACCTGAACTGAGATCAGGAGTCGGATTCTTAACCGACTAAGCCACCCAGGAACCCCTACCCCCAAAACCCAAACCCCCCAAAAGTGTGTTTTTAAAATTCTGTGCTATTTTCTTGTTGTCTCAGAATGGTTGTGATCTATTAAGGCCTTGGAAAAAAGTAATAGTCTGCTTTAATGTCCCCTGATTGGATGGAAAATTAACACATGGCAGAGAGAAGTCCACATGCTTCACGTGCACAGAAATACGTACATCTATGCCACTCAGGTCCAGAGACGAGCGATGAGGACTGGAGTGGGAATTCAGGGATATATAAAACATATAAAGCATGCAGCACAAGTTGTTGTCCATCAGTTTGAGAAAACAGCTGTCCTAACTCAGACTTTATTCTAAGCTAAATTTCCGAATTCAAAACAGTTAGTCCTGGGGCAGTGTAGAAAGCAACGTGTTCTTTCTTGAGAGCCAAATCCAGTCAGGGAAACCTGACTGTGCCTGTCCAATGCCGCTGAAATCCCCTCCAGTCCAGAGGCCCTTCGGCTGGATGTGGGGTCTCTCTTCGGGGCTCTGGTCCCCGCAGGGCCACCCTATGCCTATGCTCCCACCTACGAATGTGACGGAGGAGACCTGCGTGCCCCCACTTGTCTTTTCTGACACACACACATGAGTGGCCCACCTGCTTTCTGGTTACTGACTGAAGGGACATTGGGGACACTTCAGTGGTGTTCCCATATCGCTAGTCCTGGTGCATGTCTCACTCCCTGACTCAACTGGGACTCCCAGGAGCATGAGAACCCAGGGCTGGTGCAGCTGCCTGCCAGTGAGGTCGAGTTTAGCAGGAAGAGAAAAAAGGAATAGTGACTCACCCAGAGCAGGGGGAGCTGAGCAGATGACGGACTCAGGGAGCCCCACCCTCTGCAGAGACTGGGCTCCACCCCAAATTCCGGCTGAGAGTTTGGGCATTGGACCTCAGTGGGCCAGGGCTCCTCTTTCCTTCCCTCTTTCTTTCTTTCTTTCTTTCTTTCTTTCTTTCTTTCTTTCTTTCTTTCTTTCCTTCCTTCCTTCCTTCCTTCCTTCCTTCCTTCCTTCCTTCCAAGATTTTATTTATTTATTTTGACAGAGAGAGACATAGCAAGAGAGGGGACACAGCATAGGGAGTGGGAGAGGGAGAAGCAGGCTTCCTGCCAAGCAAGGAGCCTGATGTGGGGCTTGATCCCAGGACCCTGGGATCATGACCTGAGCCGAAGGCAGACACTTAAGGACTAAGCCACCCAGGTGCCCTTCCTCTTTCTTTTTCTTAATTCAGATAAGTGCTTGTATACTTTATGACTAAATGTCTAATCTCTACAGTTCCATCTATGAGAACAACCCCTATAAATTCCTCTCTGAGTGTTGGCTTTGACAATGAGCTTGTGATGAGACTTAAGTTTTGTCCCAGTTGCTATTTCCAGCATTGTGTCCCTGGGGGATATTTTCTGAGTTATGGGGGGAGCTTGTGGAGTAAGGGGTGGCAAATAGGAATGAAGAAATAGACAAATTGTGTCCTTCTTGTGATAAATTATTATCCCAGCTGCATGAGTTAGGCTTTATAACATGAGTAACGGGTATAGCTCAGTTTTATTGAGTTATCACCTGCCCTAGTCCATGGGTTCTGTATATTCTCTAGTAAAGTATAGGAGTGACTTCAAAAATTCTCTTCCAGGTGTGCATGCGTGTACAAAAATATAAGGGTTAGTTTATACATCTAGAGAGATTTGCATAGGTCTCACCACCTTCCAAATAGGTTTGTGGAGAATATACATGTAGAACACAACAATTAAAAACGAAAACAAAATAGGTACAGTGAACAGAGGGTAGAATGGTAAAATAAAGCTTGGGGGTAGAACTGATGACAAATCTTGGGCACTTTTTGAAGATGAGTTGGCTTTAGAAGTAAAGGCAAAAGCAATGACAAGATGCATTGTGTGGTGTTCACAAATACTCTTCAATTGCTTATGAGAGCATGTAGCTTCTTCTGGGACCATTTTCCGAGGTAGAGTTTTTGTGGGGAGTCCTCATCTTAAAAGGGTGTAATATAATGAATCTTGTCTATGACAACATTCCTGTGATAAAAGTGGTAGCATGTTGAATGTGACTTTTCTTTTAGTGTCTACCATGTTAGGGCTAAAAGGCCAAACCTCATGAAATTATGTCAAAGCACTTATGTGAAGGCCAGATTGATTCTGTCTGATTTTTCATTGGGTCCACTTTGATAAGGTTTGAAATTTATCAATAACATAGAAGAAATTAAGGGGTTGAATGATCTTTTAGCAATCTCTCATAAATATGAATACACGCCCATAAACTCTTGTGTTTCTGTGCCAATGGCCCATAAAGGCACATGCAGACATTTCAGCATCAAAATTAGGGCTGAATCTCCTTAGGAGAAAAAAGGAGCTTGGCCAGAACCTAGATGAACTGTCTAGGTTTATCCACTATATAGAGGGAGACTGTGGGAGTATCTGCCAGCAGGCCCTTTCCTTAAAAACTTACCAGTAGGTCTACATTTCTATAGTTTTCTGGGTGAAATAGACAGTTGGGGGGTGGGGCATGTCAGACTCATCTTTATCTATTGCCCATTGTTACCTTCCCAATTGCTGTTACAGTTACTATGGCTGGGAAGCAAATTACCTCAAAACTTTATAGCATAGAGCAGCCATTTATTTTGCTGATGGGTTCTTCGGGTCAGGATGTGAAAAGGCACTGCAGGAATGGCCTGTGCCACCTCCACAATGTCTGGGAACCCCGCTGGAGGGCTGTCTTTTGATTTTGGCTATTAGTTGGTGGCCTCAGTTTCTCTCCCCAGGGCCTCTCCATGTGGTCTCTCTTGTGTGGGCTACTTTGAGCTTCCCCACAGCACAGCAACTGGCTTCCAGGGGCTAGTGTTTCAAGAACAGGAGAGCCAGGAAAACCCATACTTTCTCTTATGACTCAGACCCTGAATTTCCAGAGTCAGTTCTACCACATTCTATCTGTCAAGGCAGGTACAGAGTCCTAGTCAATTTTAAGGGAGTGGAAATGGATTCTACCTCTTTATCGGGGGTGTGGTCAGTTCTGAAAGAGCCCGTGGAACTGGAAATATTGCTAGGGCTATTTTCTTAAAAAATGCAATCTGACACACTTGCACAGGACTAATCAGGGATACGCTTTTGAAGTTTCTTCCTCCCAATTCTCATCTCAGCCACACCAGAGGGAGTGGTAGACTTGGGTTTGAATCAAGGCTGACCACTTAGCTGCTCAAAGGCCACAGAAATAACATAGCCCTGTCTGTCTCAGCGTTTTTTCCCGTAATCCGAGGATACCAATGTGACCCTCACCGTGACTATGACAGCCAAAGCTGGCAGGCAGTTGTCTGAGAGCGCCCTTCAAAACCACAGGCTGACGGGAAAAACAAAATGGCCTCAAGCTTGATTTTTTTTTGCTATATTGGTGAATAAATGATCGATTGATCATTTGCAAGTTCTGAGAACCCACTGCATTTTGAGAATGAGCCACCAAGGTAACATTTCTACTCAAAAGCTTAGAAAGAAAAAAAAAAAGACCAAAAAGTTGGGAGCATTTTATATTTTTATCTTCTAAAAGGTGTGGGAGTTGCTCACTACCCAACTCTCTTTTGTCTCTGAGTCTGCACCTCTCTTTTCTTTGAAAAACAGGGAACATGGAACACTGTCAAGAGAGAATTCACTTAGCAAAGATAGGTTTTTGTTTTGTACTGTTTTTTAATGATCAGGAAGAAAGAGAAAGAGCCTGAGAGAAGAGAGACATGAGTGGCAGGTTTTCTGACAGAGGTGGTGATAAACACAGATTTATAGACAAAAATCACTGTATTCATTCAGGATGTCTGCTATGTGGTGAGAAGAGTACCAACCCAACCAATCCTTCATCATAAAAGGATGAAATATTATCAAGATTTTAAGGAAATTTACATCCTTTCTAAAATGTTTAAAAATAAGCCTTCATGAAATCTTAATATTTTTTTTTTCATATAGCCTCTGGCTTTAGAAAGTCAAGAGTATGACAACAAATTTAATTCAGAAAAATACCCACTTACGGAGTGGTGGTTTAGACTAGTAACGTTGAAGACGTTGCAGAAGGAGATTTAGCTGGGTTGGGTTTCTGCAGACTCCAGACACAAATTCATCATCCTTTTGGTACTTGCTTTATGACCCCAGTTTATTAAAAAGCTGATTGTCTCATGATCTAAAACTTCTCTCTCCCCCATAGAAATAGAACATCCTTGAGCCTCTGTAAAATCCAATTTCATTCAGACATTTGGCAACTACGATAGAGACCACCTCTATCTCAGGTCCTTAAAGGTGGTGGTTGGTATGAGAATTTATGAAATGAGAAAAGGCTATGTGTAAACTCTAAAGTTCTGGACACATTTTAACTACAGCTCTTCCTTGATTTATGATGGGGTTGTAGCCTGATAAACCTGTCATAAGTTAACAATATCATGATTTTAAAATGCATTCGATGCATGTAACCCACAGCCTACTTTTAATGTGCTCGATACTTACATTAACCTACAGTTGGGGAGAATCATCTAACACAAAGTCTGTGTTACAATCAAGATTGACTGTCTGATGTGATTGATTGAATACTGTCCTGAAGGTGGATAACTGCATGGTGTGTGGGTACAGATGGTTGTTAGTATATGGACTGTTGAACCTGGGGATTGTGTGGCTGACTCGTAGCTGTGTCTTTTTACCTTGCCCAGCATCAAAGAGAGGATAGGACCACATATCGCTAGCCTGAAAAAGATCAAAATTCAAAATTCAAAGTATGGCTTCTCCTGAATATGTATTGCTTTTGTACGATCATAGAGTCAAAAAAATCATAAATCGAACCCTCCTAAGTTGGGGACTGTCTGTACTATTATTTAGATGAAAACTTGAAGTATACAAGTATTCTTTCTTTGGGCTCAGAGCCACCTTTCTTTTCAAGTCTGTTCACTCAAACAAACTTCCATGAACAGGGAATAAAAGACAGCCTTCCTTTTGGGTCCCCTTAGGTTGGCTGTGAATTTCCTAATAGTCTGGGGCTCAAAAAATCACATTTTCTAATGAGATGTTCACTAGAACCTTCTATCCCTGCTAGAGCTTCTTACTCATTCACATGACCCCTGAGTAGAGCATAAGCATCCCCCTTCCATGCCCTTTTCAAGCTCTCCCCTTTCTTGGCCTCTTTACCTTCCACTTCATTTTTTCCTAAACCAATTAAAATCCGGGAACTGCCCTCCATCCTTTATGAATTTCCCCCAGAGCTCCAGGCTATGGAAGTTTGATTTCTTTCCATCTCTCCTGTTCATTCTGCCATGTTATCTTGTAGCACCTCATGTTTTTATTTCCAAGTCTCTGAATGGTCTTTCCAGTTAGATCTTGTGTCTTGTTCATCTGTTCAGAGGTGGCCACAGTGACTGTTACTTGCGGTTGGTTACTCAATAGATGCTTAGCTCATTCGGTGATGACAAAATGTGCTGTTGTGTGGGACGTCTCCGTACTGCACAACAGATTCCTGGAGTCTACTCAGAGGCTTGGTCTCTATAATGCCATATGCAATTGCAGTGACGAAATTCTCTAGTGGGTCTGAATCACGAGAGACTGGACCCATTTTGCCTGGTGCAGTTATGACAGTCCACCATTGCACAGGACCCATCCGGAGTGACATTGATGGAAACTCCTGCTTTCAATTCTCATTTTTGCCATGGGGACTGGTGGACTCAAGTCAAAGGAGTCAGGTTGGAATTGGGGCTGTGTGATCTTGGAGAAATGATTCTTACATAAGGGGGAAAGGACCATCTTCCTCATAGGTCAATGCCAATGTGTTAGGAGTAGCAACAGTAATTGACAAATCATTGGAGGTTCAATGTGGACAAATCTGAGACTTAAATTCTTCAGGGGACCTAGTCATAAGGGGTGGAAACCCACACTTTTGTGAGTTTTCCCTCTAGAAGCCTGACCTGGTTCGGACTGTAAATATCAAAGAAAAAATTTCTTTGTGTTTCCAGCAGGGGGAGGAGAAAAGTCATTCTGAAATATCCTAGAGCACTCTGTTCTTATTAACAAGGCTTGACCTCAGGATAAACTAGTTAATGAAAGCCTTACCTGCTAGGATATTATCAGAGCCTAGCTGACTGCACAGAAGGAAATACCCAACTCCAGCCCAGTCAGGCCATCCTGCCCCATCTAAGCGGGGATAAATGACTGAGAAATGTTCACAAAGTTCATAGTCCAGAGTCACTAAAGGATCTAATCACAGGACCATAGAACACATCCCCTCCCACCACACCTCACCATCATGTTACTAACGGCCAGTTTATAGCACTTTCTTTTACTGGTACATTCTATCCAGCTTCAGAGAAAAGTATAAGAATATTAAAAGGCAAATGCACAATTTGAAGAGACAGAGCAAACATCAGAGCCAGAAATGGCAGGGATGTCGGAATTACCAGGCTGGGAATTTAAATCATCCCTGATTAGTGTGCCAAGGGATCTAATGCATAAAAGCAGACAGCATGCAACAACAGATAGGCAATGTAAGCAGAGAGATGAAAAATCTCAAAAAGGACCAAAAACAAAGCTAGCCATTAGGAAAACAAAACAAAACAAAACAAAACAAAACAAAACTGTAACAAAAATGAAGACTGCCTGTGATGGGCTTGTTAGTGGAATGGACATGGCTGAACAGAGAATCTCTGGGCTTGAGGCTATCACACTAGAAACCTCCAAAACTGTAAAGCTAAAGGAACAAAGTCTGGAGGAAAAAAAAGAACAAAGTATCCAATGAGTGTGGGACAACCACCGAAAGTGTAACATACATGTAATGGGAATACCAAAGGAGAAGAAAGAGAGAAAGGAAGGCAAGTATCTGAAACACTAGTGATTGAGAATTTCCCCAGATTAATGTCAGACAGCAAACTGTAATCCAGGAAGCTCTGAGAATACCAAGCAGGATGAACAAACAAAAGCCTAGGGTTATCATTTTCAAATTACAGAAAATCCAAGATAAGGAAAAAAATCCTAAAAGAAGCCAGAGGTTGGGGGGACAACTTACCTATCATGAAACAAAGATGTGAATTGCATTCAGCTTGTCCTCAGAACCTATGCAAGTGAAAGAGTATGAAGCAAAATATTTAAAGTGTTGAGAGAATGAGAAGCCTAGTGTGACAATGTTGGCACCAAGAGAGCCAGCTGATCACTCTGAAGTCATTGAACCCAAGGGAAAAGGACCTCATGGGACCAAGCCAGATTTTTGCTCCTGTTAACCTAAGAGAATTTGGTACGAGTAATTCCGTGAGTTTATCCCATTTCCTTTTCAGATGGCAAGATCTATGATGCCTATGTCTTATACCCTAAGCCTCAAAGAGAAATCCAGAGCCATGAGGTAGACACACTGGTGTGGAAGATTCTGCCTGAGGTGCTGGAGAGGCAGTGTGGATATAAATTATTTATATTTGGCAGGGATGAATTTCCTGGACAAGGTATGTTTTGAGTGAGGTTTCAAAGCCACAAGTAAAAAGGAAAGGGAAGTCTCTTTTCCTTCACTTCACAAATGGGCGTGGGGAGGGCTTGGGAGACTCTGCTCATCTTCCCCCATGGAACCACAGAGAGTCTCGCACTTCCTCAGCCCACAGTCCGTGAGCCAAGTTAGGACCAGTTCTCTTCTCTCTGGGGCTCGTTCCTGTTACAGGATAACTGGGATTCCTGGTTGAAATAATGTGACTCTCACTATGAGTAACACGAACAACTGACCAATGACAGCCTTGGCCAAGAGACCACATGGTAAAAAGAGGTCATTTGCCCTCACGTCCTTGAGACTAACTGCTGAGTATCCTCCATCAGTTCAAATATGTAAATCAGCTCATATTTAAAGATGATTTTATAAACCTTAACTACCCAGGTTTCTCCTACATAAATAAAATAGAATTTATTTATTTATGTCTCCCATAGAACAAGAGTGTAGCTTTGGGCACTGTGGGTGACATCTTTGAGCTTCAACTGTCTCATCTGTCAAATGAGGAACAGAGTGCTTCCCTGACTCGAGCGAGAGAATGAAATGAGATAAAATCTGAGTGGAGACCAGTATGGAGCTTAGCGCATGTTAGACATCTGACAGATAAAGTTTCCCTCTTGACCTACATGTTTTCTTTCTTGGGCTGCTATACAACAAATGGCTAAAATTTGGAATAAACCTCCTTCACTGGTCAAGAGGAAACCAAGAGGACTACATTAGAGCATTTGGTAGCGGCCCACTCTGGGTTGTTTGGAGAGGTGGCCAAGTACTTTGGATTTGTAAGTTGCTTGTCTCTATGGTGAGAGACAACCACATCCCAGCCCACATCTTTTCAAGTTATAAGATCAACCTCCATGAGGAAGTGAAAATCTGATTTAGTGCTCGCCGTAAACATGGGGAAGACTTCAAATTTCATAAGCATATTCTTTCACTCACTTATTCAGCAAATATTTATTGAGCACCTGCTATGTGACAGGTAATATTCTAGGCACAAGAAATAGAAAAATAAACTGAAGAGAAGAAGAACATGAGCTTGGGGAGGTCACAGTCTATTTTTATATTCTAAGAATCAGGAGGATATAAAAGTTACTATTTATTGCTAAAAAAGGCCAAGTTTCATCTGTAGCTGGATATTTCCAGAACTATCCCCAAGAAATCATCAGGTAGTGTTACTAATTTGAAGTTAGTCCTATAAATCCTGGGCATTTAGTTAGCTACAGCACAAGAAGAAAACACAAACAAAGATTAATACAGCATTTGATCTATCTACACTTTCCCTGTCCCTTTAAAATATATTTATTAAAAAAATGTGTTTATCATCGACTATATACTAGACCTTCAGTGAAGTTGGTGATAAAAGTTAGGCATGGTAAAACCCTTTTTCTGAGTAGGTCACAGTCCGTGGGTGCAGCCAGTGAGCTGAGGTAAGTGACCTTGCAGCAACCAACTACCAAAAAAATATGACTTATGAACACAAAGGGCCAATTTTTTTAGGGAAAATCAGAAAGGTTTCACAGAAGATATGATAAAAGTTAAAAAAGCAAAACAAAACCACTTTTGTTATCCATTCCTAAGTGACATTTATTTTAAAATCTATGTTGTCCTTCCAGGACCCATTTCTAATATTCTCAGAGATGAATCTAGGCTCTTTCACTCATGCGATAGTCTGCGTCTTCTTTATTTCCAGCGGTGGCCAACGTCATCGACGAAAACATCAAGCTATGCCGGAGGCTGATCATTGTCTTAGTTCCCGAATCCCTGAGCTTTGACATGTTAAAGAACATGTCGGAAGAACAAATTGCAGTCTACAATGCACTCATCCAGGATGGGATGAAGGTCATCTTGATTGAACTAGAGAAGGTCAAGGACTACACGGCCATGCCGCAGTCAATTCAGTACATCAAGCAGAAGCACGGGGCCATCCAGTGGAGTGGGGACCTCACAGAACAGTCACAGTGTGCCAAGACCAAGTTCTGGAAAAAAGTGAGGTACCACATGCCACCCAAAAGGCCTCCACCATCTTCTTCCGCCCAGCCACTGAAGCACATGTCCTGACCCCTCCTGGTTGGCTAGTGGGGGGCCGACATGGGGTTGGTCACCTGTGATGGCATTGTTGGCAAGAGGTGGTTCACGGATGGCATGGATGCCTGGCATTTGGGCCGTCGGCTTGAAGCTTGCCGTTGTGTCCTTGTTGTGGCAGGACCTCTATCTGTTGCTTGTTTGGGTCAGAGCTCCCTCTTTAGGGAAAGATGTCACCCTTCCAGAAGGCCTTCATTCACTTATGGACTCTAATGGGCACTCCCCATACACAGAGCCCCTGGGGAATGGGACATGGAGGACTGTAGAGTGGCAAGTGAGATGTCAAGAAGTTTGGTGTGTGGTGTGGCATCTGTGGGGCCAGAGTCAGAAGTTAGGGGATGGCAGGAGGTAATCTGTGGGCTTAGAGAGGGCTGGCAAGGAGAACTGCAATTTTTCTTGACCATAATCTTAGCACATGGATACTGGAAGCATGTAGTGGTCACACAGACCAGTGGGGACCAAGTGTGGCCCAAGTATGGCCCCACTGGGATTGCCCATTAATCACCCTCCTGTTGGGTCCCAGCCTTGAAAGACTTGATCTGTCCAATCAAAATAAGTAACACTTCATTTCTTTCTCCAGCTGGCCTCTGAAGGCTGGGATTCTGAACAGCATGAGAGACACAATTAGCACACCGAGATGATGCAATTCTAGTCCACATAAAACAAAGAAATCTTTAGGTTAGCCAGCATCCTCTCATCACAGGTGCATTTATGATTTAACAAGGCACAAGGATTTTTGACACTAAAATTTAGCTGGAAATTCATCACTACTTTCAAAGACCCTGACTGAGTAGCTGAGATAGAGTCCAACACTCTCATTCCGTGGTTGAGGACGTGAAGTTCTAACAAGTGGCCTGCTGGGGTCAGAATGTTTATGTTGCCCAAAGTCACATGTTGCCATCCTAACACCCAGTGTCATGGTATTGGGAGGTAGGGCCACCTGGAGGTGATCGGGTCAGAAGGGCGGAGACCTCCTGAATAGGACTAGTACTCTCATGGAAGATAGCCCAAGAAATCCCTTGCCACTTCGGCCATGTGAAGACACAGCAAGAAGTCTGTGACCTGAAAGAAGGTCCCCACCTGACCACGGGGGCACCTGTTCTCAGACTTCTTGCCTCCATTACTGTGAGAAATAAATTTCCTTTGTTTAGAAGCCACTTGGCCTATGGTATCTCGCTATAGTGGCCCAAGCAGTCTAAGGCATGGCCCTAGTGAAGGGTCCATGGGGACTGGATGGGGGTCAGCCAGTGGGCAGGACAGGGGAGGAGGACTGCCAAGGAGGAGGGGTGAGTTGGGAGAACAGGGATCCCAGCCTGCAGAGAAGAGCAGAGTGTATAGGCAGGGGCAGAGAGCAGGAACAGGTGGCCTTCACAGGCTGCAGATAGCATAGAGTGTCTGGTGGGCTCTGAGATGATAAAGAGCCTACTTCAGTCTTCTAGCATCTATGCTCTAAGGTGACCCAACATAACACATTTCTTTCTTTCTTTTTTTTGTTTAAAGATTTTATTTATTTATTTGACAGAGATCACAAGTAGGCAGAGAGGCAGGCAGAGAGAGAGAGGGGGAAACAGGCTCCCTGCTGAGCAGAGAGCCCGATGTGGGGCTCGATCCCAGAACCCTGGGATCATGACCTGAGCTGAAGGCAGAGGCTTTAACCAACTGAGCCACCCAGGCGCCCCACATGACACATTTCTTTGTCATCTTATGCTGGTTCTCACTTAACATGAGGCCACTCTTTATTTTATTTAATATTTGCTCTTTAAAGATTTTTTTAAAAGATTTTATTTATTTATTTGACAGAGGGAGAGAGACAGCAAGAGAGAGAGAGAACTCAAGCAGGGGGAGGGACAGAGAGAGAAGCAGGCTTCCTGCTGAGCAGGGAGCCTGATGTGGGGCTCCATCGCAGGACCCTGGGATCATGACCTGAGCCGAAGGCAGAGGCTTAACAACTTAACACCCAGGCGCCCCTAAAGATTTTCTAAAATTGTGGTAAAATATATGTCATGCAAAATTTACCACTGCGACCATTTATAAGTGTACAGTTCAGTGGTGGTAAGTCCTTTCACCCTGTTGTGTGCCACCGTCAGCACCCTCTGGTTCCAGAACTTTGTCATCTTTCCCAACTGGAACTCTCTCCCCACCAAACACTAACTCCCCCTCTCCCCTGCCCACAGTCCCTGGCAACGTTCTGCTTTCTTTGTCTATGATTTTGGCTCCTCTAGGCTCCTTGTGTAAGTGGAATTATACAGGACTTGTCCTTTTGTGCCTGGCTTATTGCACTTAGCCACAGATCCTTAAGATTCATGTGTAATATTTGCTTTTTGTCTCATTCTTCTTATGTAGTCCCGCCTCCCTTCTTTCTTTCTTTCTTTCTTTCTTCCCAGGGTGAAGGATATCAGGTAATCTTACAGGGACAAGAGACAACCACCAAAAGTAATAAGCTCATCGGGGTCCTTCTAATCAGATGCTTGTGAACCTTTTGCTTCTTGGTTTCTCTCTCCAACATGGGAGTCACGATTCCTCCTGGAGAATTTGCCCGTTCAATAAAGGAAGCTGTTTCTCTTGGTGCACCCAGAAGCGAAGGGATGGCCACTGGTGTGTTCCTCATTCTGTTCCACTGACCCCTCAGTTTTCTCTCCTCTGCTTGTACCCAGAGCTTGCCGCTGATGCTGGAGAAGGCTCTGTGGCCGCACCCAAAGAGTGGCGCTTTGCCCTTCACTTTGTCTTATCCCATCCCCTACAGACTACCCCTTCCTCCCAAGCCCTTTCTCCCTGGAGGATGAAGAGAGGCAGAGCAGCCTCATGAGTCAGGAGACAGGCTGAAACCCTAGGCTGTCCTGGTTGCCTGTGAATTTTAGAAAGAGATTCTCCAGGATTTTCCAGTGACTAACTTTTTATAAATGACTGTATCCACACAGCACAAGTTGAGGCTGTCAGAAAAAAGAAAGCCAATCCATCAGGGGCAAAGGTATTTTCTGAATACCTAGGACTACTGGGAGGCCAGCGCTGTTGGTGAATTTCTTAGCTGGAATGATTTTTTGTCAGAAACTTCCCTCCCCTCCAACATGTGCCCTATGTTTCTTTTTGTTTGAAAATATGTAAAGGTGTATTATTAGTGCAATAGCAATGAATTATATCAGCACATTGTAATTTTATTGTTATTGCTTCATGTCCTATATAAGAGGCTCCTTTTCTCGAGGGTTCTGGCCTTTCACGTATTTGGGCACAGGGCTGATGTTCTCAGGCATGTATATATGCTCCTCATGACAGACCATGTGCTCTGAATCAAGATTTGTACAATAGGGCCACATGTTTTCAAAGATGGATAAGACTTGTCTTATCCCGATAAGTTCTGTCCTTTTAAACAGTGGCTCTTTCTGATAATTTGAGGAACAATGTGGATATCTCCCTAGAAAAAATGTATGTACACACAAAATTTTGGGTGCAGTTTGAGAATGTTGACAGAATTTTTCAAGTTCCTCAAAGGCATCTTACACAAAAAGGTCCCCAGGCCCTGACAAAAGGACCCCTTTCCTAGAAGGACTTTCATTTCTGTACTTACTGGATGTGATCTCAGAATTTTACACAATTCTATGTAGAGGTCCAATGATAAACGTGCTGAGTGAGCCATCCGGGGGATCCTCCTGGAAGTTGTCTGGAAAGGAACACAGACTTGGGATTTTTGTGGTATTCTAGTCATCATCTAGCCCAGGACTGCCTTACTGGTCTGCCACCAATGAGATGTAGGTCTTTGACGAAAGTGACTCCTGAGATGTTTCCTCAAGGTGTGTCTGGAGCTGTAGGCCTTACGTGTGTGCGTGCCATGATGTGAAAAAGACTGGGAAACAGATCCTAATCAGAGAGGGCCTGGAAGAATGAAGGGAGTAAACTGAAGACGTTCAGTACTTGGTGGCAGAGCTGGGACAGATGCCTCCATCTTCTCACTGTGCTGTGGCTTATGCTGTGGCAACTTTTCTTACCCTCTCAGTCCTGTGACACCAGCCACTCATTGGAATTGACTTCTAGAAGCCTGGGGATGGACTTGTAGCAATACAGAGTTAGGGCTTTTGAGTGATTTCCCTTGATTTACTCTGGGACTTTTTAGGAACACACACATTTATGTTTTGTTCTGTCTTGTGTCTACCCAGCGGTAAGCAAAACTGTAGCATTTTTAGGATCGTAGGAAATTTAACATTCAGGATTAAGAAGTTCTTCAGTAAGTTTTACCTTTCTTGAATGGATCTTTCTGAATGGCTGGAGGTTTTAGATGAGAGAGGTCAATGAAGGAGGCTATATCCTTTCCTGGGACAGCTTTATCACATCTATCACAAAGCACTGAACTTCACTGAATTCCACTTCTTGTCTGGAGCCTCACTACCACTTGGGAACCTGGGGGTCCAGGCCTCTGCCTAGTGGTGAAGAGCATGTGTTTGAAACTCAGCTTTTCCTGTGGGGCCTTTTAGAAGCCAGTTAGCCTCTCTGAGCTTGTCATCAATTGGGAATGACACGAGGAAAAAGCATATAACACATGTGAGTGTGGGGATGATAAGTGGATATTATTTATGGACAGGTTTCACATACTTGAAAGAACTCTGGCTATGATATTCAGGGACAAAAGTGTAATTGAGAGGGGGAAAAAATCCATGGGCACTGAATGTTTTGCAGTGGGCAGCTCATGGTTTTTGGAGATTCCTAAATTTTCTACTAGCTTCTTAAAGTCACACACACACACACACACACACACACACACACACACACACACTCCCCTGGAGATGGGTTGCTCTGTATTGGCATCGATGGGGTCTATGACTATGCCCCGTGCTGTGGGCTCTCGGCTGGACTAACCTTCCAAATGATCCTGTCTGGTCTGCTGGCCAGTGTCCTCTTCCACTTATGCAGGGACCCCCAGGCTTCCCGATCCCCTGGGTATCCACACAGGGATATCCTTTCCCATGGAGCCTTTGATTATTGTCCTTGCTTGCTGTTTGGTCTTGATTTGGGGGGCTCAAGGAGTTTTGAAACCTGGTCCTGGGAGTTCTACCACACAGTAGCCCAGGCCAGAACCGAAGGAAGTACCTGAACTGGGAGATCCAATTGACAATACTATCCCTCTCTTAGGTCT